AGTCCGCAGGTGAGCCCAAGGCAGTGCCCAAGGGGCTGGAACTGGGCTCTCGCTCTCCCTGTGACTCACGTGGGGCCTCGCCTGGAGATGGAGAGGAGGGGCTGTTGTGTCAAGGGCTCCCCTCTGGGAGCGGCCTGGCTGCTCAGCGGGCCTGCCGGAAGGCAAGCCCTTTCTTTGTGGTCTGATGCGCCTGAGGGAGGGCAGTGCCTGGGCGGGACTTCTTGTACTCGGCCTGGCATCCTGGGCCTATCAGAAGCCCCCAGGGTGGCAGGTCCTGGCCCTTCCCTGCTGGCATCACCCCCTGGACTTGCATGGGGATGGGGGTTGGGGGACGCCCCACTTACAGGCCCAGCAGCTCGGGAGCGACACCAGGAGTTGTGCTGGGAGCAAGGACTTCCTGGCTTCTCAGGTGCCAGCCTCAGCATCCCCAGGGAGGTGGCGCCAGTGCCTGGTGGCAGTGCCAGTGCCCGGCGTGGGCTGTGCTCACACAGGGCTGTGTTTGCACACACGAGGATGGAGTGAATTCTAGCACGTGGCAAGCTCTGACTCGGGGGACAGTGATGCACTTTGTCCCCTCTGTCAAGGGGAGGCTGGCCAGCCCCCACTGGGAGCTGGTGGAGAGAGAACCAGGCCTGCTGGGAGGCAGAAGGGGCCCCCGCTGCGCCGAGGCGCCCTCAGGAACAGGGAAGACAGGGCCGGAGGTTCTGGACAAAGGCAGGGAACTGGGGTCTGGGGTCAGTGTACTTCCCTGGGCCTCAGCTTACCATCTGGAGAGAGCACATCTCCTTGTCCTCACATGGTGTTGGTGAGGGTGCATTAAGGGAAGCATCTGGAGTGAAGTTCAGAGACTGTGAACCTGGGGTTCACAGTGCAACCGGGAGGCACCCTGCCTCATCCAGGAAGTCCCTCCCTTCCTGGAGGGTAGTAGACCTGGGGGTGGGGGTTGAAGGAAGCCAAGTGGGGGATCCAGACAGATTAAGTCAGAGGTGCTGCAGAGCTTTTAGAGGTGGCCAGGGGAAGGAGACTCCTAGGGTTCTAGTCATTGGAGTTGAGTCATTGGGTAGGTGTTCAGGTGTCACTGCAGGGAAGGTTCTAGAAGGCACTTGGTTGACAGGCTTGAGCCTGGGTCATCTCCGGCAGCCCCTGAGGTAGCAGGCTTTTGAGAGCCACAAAGCAAGGGTGAGGCCAAGCGGGATCCTACCCCGTGATGCTAGCAACTTCTGCCAGGATGGAGCAGGTGCCAGAAGGTCCAAGCCCCCCTTTAGAGGTTTCCAATTCAATTAAGTCAACGAAGGTCTGAAAGATGAAAGGCTTGAGAAATGGCGCGTGCCCTGCTCTTTTGGTGCTGACAGACCATTCTACACAGCCAGCCCAGGCGGGAACGCCTCAGGCAGGCCTGCGCAAGGGAGAGGCCGCTGTCCTCATGTGGACCGAGGTGGCCGTTGCCCAGGCTTTAAGGCTGGGGATGCAGTCTCTGCCATTGGCTTCAACTGATGTCACTTGAGATAACCCTTGATTTCACTGATGGCTCCTGCCTGTCCTGTAGTCGACGCAGTTAACGAAGATGAGGAAGGTCAGCATTAGCACAGTGTCGATTTCAGGGCTCAGCAGAGCTGGGGCAGAGACCCCCGCAACCCTGAAAGTGGCCTGCTGCCCCCACCCACAGCCTGCTCTCTTGCTGTCTGGGACATGACCCCCCATCCCCAGGCTCCCAGCCCTTCCTTGGCTGGCCCCACCCAGGCTTGACCGCACGTCGGCTTCCCACCAACCCCACGGCCTCGCGTCTCCTCCAGAGCCAACAGTGGGACAGGCACGCTCCCAGGGCCTGGCACATCGCGGACCAGCACTGGCCCATAGCCGGGAGTCGGCTTGGCGGCCAGTGCTGGGGGGGAGCTGGCAGACTTTCTGGAGAACACACCACTTGGATTGCCACCCTAATTCATAGGATGCCACCACTGGAGAGGGCACAATGAGTGGGGTCCTGGGTAGATGGTATAGGGTGGGGCGTTGTGCTTGATGGGAGAAGGTCTGAAACAGGCGGTGTGGCAGGCTCCCACTAGGATTGTAAAAAGAGCTTTCTGGAAGCCAGTGTGGCTTGGATGCAGTAACAGTGCCCGAAGCAGAGAAGGTGGTGACGTAGAGCAGGGTGGTGACTTCGAATAGGGTAGTGACGAGGCACCTGAGTGGCGGGGACCTCTGAGATAGTAGCCGGGACTTGGGACTGGCAGAGAGTGACAGAGGAGAGCCAGGCACAGGAGTGAGCAGGGGCTGGGGCCTGCTAAGGGGCCGTGCTGAGGGCCAGGCCTCACTCCACCCAGGCCGCTGACCGGGAGCCGCATGAGTCTCAAAGGACCATAGAGACGGCAGCTCAGCAGTTCAGACAGCTCGAAGACCCGCTCTGCCCTCACCTGGGCCCAGCACTGAGTAACCAAGGAGGGCAGGGGAACACTGGGGGAGAAGCAGGGAGCACAGAGATGGTGTTGAGGGACCCCTGTCCCACAGAGGTCGGAGTCCCAAGTCTGCAAGGTGCCCCCGCTCCAAGGAGTAGGTGTTTCTGTCAGGCCATGTGGGGATACTTGGGAGTTGGGGTGTGACTTCCACACAGCTACAGGTCATTCACTCCGTCACCCCCTGGAGCCTGCCAGTGCAACTGGGTTGGGATCTGGGCACCTTTTCACTGAAATGGGTTCTGGAGGAACCCAATCTTTCACTTGAAAGGTTCCTAGGCATTATGATGGGGTCTGCAGGCACCAACTGACCTCTGGGGCCTGGGCAGATACAAAGAGTCTGCAAAGGCCAGCAATGGCTTGCCCAGCAATGGCTTCATGCCTCCAGAACTTCTTGAGCCGGCCTGTGGCCCCTGGTTCCGCCTCATTGCCTGGCCAAGCCAGTTTCTCCTCCCAACTGGAAAATGATTTGTGGCGCGCCATGGGGCAGGTGGGGTGCATTCACACAGCACCCAGAGGAGCCCTTCTGGGCCCCAACCAGAGGTGTTTGGCTTGGCTGCCCCATCCCTGAGCTCGGGGCTCAGTCCCAAGACCTCATCCGGTGGCTGCTGCCTGCCCAGAGCTCTGTGGCACCTCAGGTCACCCGTGGCCATGAGGACTGCAGCCCTTCTCCCTGCCGCCCTTCCACCTACCCGCCTGCTCCTCCAGTTTTTTCTCCCAGGTGCCCCTTCCTTGAGGCCTCCAGACCAAACCTCCCACCCCACCACAGTTGCACCTCAAGCCTCCCAGATGGTTTTGCCCACACCCTCCACCAGGAGCTGCTCCATCCCTGCCTGCCAGGCCTGTGAGGTAGATGCTAGGGAAATATCTGTCAGATGGCGAGTGGAAGCCAGGGCGGGCGGAAGTGCTGCGTGGGAGACAGGGAGGACGGCGCAGTCCTGAGCCTGCCATTTTGTTCCCGCGTCTTCTGGCAGTGAAGGCCGCTCCACATGGAAGTGTCTGGAGACTTAACACTTAGGTGCCTGTACTTGAAGCACGGGGATTCCCGAGGATGGCCATTTCCCAAGCGCCCCGTGCCTCCCAGGCCTTGCTGGAGCCACTGTCTTCTTCACAGCTCGGGGCCCATGTGTCCCGGGCCCTCAAGGCTGTGGGCCTGGGAGCCAGGTCCTTCAATCCCCATGACTCCAGCCCAGTCCCCTGGGGCTATGCTCTCCAGAGTGCAGAGGTTCTCTCTTGGCCTCTGGGCTATTGTGTGTCCACCGATGATTCTGAATCAGAAACCAGGATCAATGATCAAACTGTGCTTCGCAGAGAAGTCTCCCCAAAGACAAGGGGTCGACACCCGATGAGCCATGTTGTTAGGCCTCTTTGCTTGTGTAAAGGTCAAGGACTTGTGCCCCGCGGTTGGTTCAGTGCGAAGGCTTAGCATGTGGCCTTGGAGGCCGCTCCCTCTTCTGTGCGGGCTGGGAAGGCATGTGGAGCAAGAGCAGCAGAAGCTTGGGGCCCAGGACAGGCGGTCCAGAAGACCTCCATGATCTTCGTGTCACATCCTATAAATGCCATGGGCGGTGCCTCAGCAGGTGGGGATGGCGGAGGCCCAGTGTGGGGACAGTGACAGATGACACTCTCACGACAGCCTGTGCAGGGGGGAGGCAAGGTGTCGCTGTGGGAAACCCCAGCTCCTTACTCTGTCATCTGGGAGCCAGAGAGGGCGGCACCTGGCACAGGCTGGGCACAGACAGAGCCCTTCACCAGTCCTGCTTTCCGCTCTCTCCCTATCCCTGCCACTCTTTGCCCTCCATCCCCTTCCTTACCGCCCCCCCTCGCCCCTTTGCCCCTTCTCTTCTCCTCCCTCACTGCCTTCCCTCACTGTCTTGTCTCTGCCTCTCTCCTCCTCTCCCTCTGGGCATCCTCCTTCCTCGCCCGGCCTCCGGGCACCTCGGGGCAGCAGAGACACTGTGCCCTGAGCCTTGACCTGGTGCACAGCTGACCCTGTCCATGGCTTGGCCTGCATCCTGGACCCCCGCGCGCCTCCGGGCCTGAAACCCCTGAGGCTGTCCCCGCCCAGAGACTGCCGCCTGGGGCTCGGAGCACAGCGACCCTGCAGGGCCAGCAGTAATCAGGCAAGAGAGGGAACAGAAGGCTCGAGGTGGGGCAGGAGCATGGGCAGTGTGCCAGAGCGCCCACCCCGCCAGGCAAGACCGCATCCATCCATGCGCTGCTGCGCTCACTTCGGTGTGGGGGCCAAGACACCTGGGCCCAGGCCACCCCAAGCCGCCCTTGCTCGGCAGTGCTGGCGCTGCCAGTGGCAGGGTCCTTGGCAGAAGGCGCTGCCGCCTCCTCCCACCCTACCTGGGCAAGCCCCTGGGGTTGGGACGCTCTCCGTGGGCAGGGCTGGGGAGACAGCCTGGCAGGTGGCCCAAGCTGGGAGGTGACTTTGGTATTCAGTGAGTCAAGGCCCAACTGAGGACAGATTTACAGAGAAGCTTCTAGAAGAGCAGACTTTGGTTTCGCCTCAACTGTGCCCCTGGCTTCTTTTCACCTTCTCCCCAGGTGTCTGCCCTTGGCTGCTTCCCCTCTCCCACCACTGCCGCATCCCACCTCGACACTGGGACCTCAGGTGGCCACCTGCCCCTAACTGAGGCTGAGCCAGGACAGAGTCCGGGAGGCAGGATGGGCGACATGGCCAACAGCTCCATCGAGTTCCACCCCAAGCCTCAGCCACAACGGGAGGCCCCGCATGCCGGCGGCTTCGGGTGCACGCTGGCTGAGCTGCGTTCCCTCATGGAGCTCCGAGGGGCTGAGGCGCTGCAGAAGGTCCAGGAAACCTATGGGGATGTCGGCGGGCTCTGCAGGAGGCTGAGAACGTCGCCCACGGAGGGTAAGTCAGCCAGCCGGGCCTCGCGCCCTGGCCCAGCGCCTCCCACGGCCTTTAGAAGATACCCCCTCCCCGCAGCGGGGCACTGCACACCACTCAGCTCTTCCTGGAGGGGCTCTTGACCCTGACTGCGGTCCTCCAGGGCAGCCGTTTGCCCTGGAGCAAGAGCCACACCCAGCGAGCAGCATGGCCTCTGAGCGGCCTGCAGCGCCCACACCTCCAGACACGGACGCCCCTCTCCCATCTCTTCTTTCGACAAAGTAGAAATAGAGGAACAGAGATGGTGAACACAACCCTCAGCAGCGTTCCTGAGAACTGGGGTACATGGAAGAGGAGGAGGGGACAGTCCCTGCCCGTATGTTGGGGTTCCCTATGTCCAGTTGAGGGGGACAGGAAGAGGAAGAAGGGGCACACAGGGCAGGCCTCTCAAGGCTCAGGAGACAGGGGACCTCTCGCTGGGAACGGAGGTGTGGCCTGGAAACCATGGGGCCAGGCACCCAGCATCCGGAGGGGAGGCACAAGCCCGAGGACACGGTGCCGGGCTCAGCAGGTGTGCTGCAGGGGCCCTGTCCTCGAGAGGCCACCTTGGGTGGCCCCTCTGCTCCAAAGGCCCTATTGCACACCAGCCTTCCCCAGTCCTGGCTGTTGCGTCTGCTAGGAGGCGGGGACCCCCAGGAGCCAGGCTCAGCCCCGGCCCCAGGAGTTAGCCCTTCCCTCGCAGGACCCTGGGGCCGACCCGGTTGGTGGCCAGGCTGCTCCCGGCCAGTGCCGGTTCATCTCAGGGGCCGTGGCTCTGCCTCGGCACCTTCGCCACCCACGCCCCCCATGGCCCGCTGCCCTGGCCGAGTCCTTATCTCCTGCTCCCTGGCCCCGTCTGCCTGCGAGGGGCATGTGGGCTGCATGAGGGAGACAGCCCACCCAGGAGGCCGCGGGCCTGAGGGCCGGGTGAGCGTGCCCACCAGCCAGGTTGGGAACACCGCCAAAGTAAGGGGCCTCCCCAGCCGCCCCGGGGCTCTGGCTGGGTGCTCTGGAGCGAGCGCCTGGCCTGGCCGGCATGTCAGCCAGGAAGATGCTGGGCTCGGGACCAAAGGCTCGCTCCACCCTCCTCACCCACCCGTGGGGCTTGGGGCGGCTGGGGTGCAGGGCTATCTAGCCGCAAGCGCTCTGGCCGCTCCCAGATGAAAGGAAGCAGATGGGCTTCTGCCGGCAGCGCTTTCCTGCCTGTCAGGCCTTGTTAAATATTTAAAATGTCAAGGCCCCTGGGAAGCGGCCCGATTCCGCCTCTGGAGCGCAACTGCTGCCCATGGAGGGGGCCGGGAAGAAGGGCAGGTGTTCATGTGGGTGGCCTGCCTGCAACAGTAGGATTGGACAGGCCTGGTCTGCACCCCAAAGAATGAGGACAGGAGGGTTACCCCTCCTGTTGCCGACCCGGGAGCCCTTGAACTGCAGGCACCAGAGGAGTGACAGCCACCACCCCCTGCAAGTGTGGGGTCCCTTGGTGCCTGCTGACTTGGCCCCCAAATTCTCACCCAGACCCCTCATCCTACTCAGACACAGAAGCCTGAGCTCATGGGAGGGACTGCCCTAGCTGTGGCCCAGGCTCTATGCACCCGCCTGGCAAGGTGGGCAGGCTGTAGATGCCAGCAGGGTGGTGCTGTGGAGCCGGCGTGGAGGGTATGGCGTGTCGAGGACTCGTCTTTGGCCATCAGCACTTCCACGGGCTCGACCTTTGTAGAGATCCAAGAGGAGCCCATAAACTGAGAGCCTGGGTCTTAGGCCCAGCCCCGTGGCAGGCCCTCTGGGGGACTCTGGATCTACCCCTTCCCTGTCTGGCCTCCACGGCGGTCATGGAAAGGAAGGGGTAGATTAACCGGAGCCACACCATGGGGTCCTAATCCAATTCTGGTGGCATCTGGCCTCTGCTTTGGGCAGGGCGCCCATCGGTGTCCATGCCAACCATCCAACCCCTGCCCCCACACCCTGCACCGTGGCCCCACTCGGGGGCCTGCAGGCCAGCACAGGGGCTGCAGCTGCCTTCCACCCTTCCTGGGGGTGCTTGGGCCAGCAGCTGTCGGAGCCCAGCCTGCAGCAAGGCCTAGGCAGGTTTAGGGTGAGGGAGGGAGGAGCTTCTGCAGCATTAAGGGCAAACCAAGGCCAAGGGAGAGGCTGGGGGAGGGGAGGAGGGGGGAGGGAGAGGAGAGGGAGGCAGAGAACTCCCAAGGAGGGGCCCCAGGGTCAACTTTCCTTGGGGAGAATGGGTCAGGTGCCTGGCAGTCTGCGGGCTGGGCGGTGGGCCTCTGTCCTCCCTGGAGGTTCCAGGTCAATGCCCTTCCCCACGGGCGGGGCAGTGGGGACCCTGCGTGGCTGGGAGGCTCCAGATTCAGGGGCCCCCCTCATGCTCACCCTGCCTTTTATATCTCCCACAGCTCGAGGACACAGGCTTCAGTCAAGAGAGGGGCGGGCCCCTTGGCTGGGCCCCTGCCCGTAGAAGGGGAGGCCCCGAGCTTCTCCCAGACACCCAACTGGGGAAATGCAGCTTCTAGAAACTTGAGCTGAGGTGGGGCCATGCATGTTGAGGCCAGGAGGAGAAAGACAGGGACAGCTGCAGCTCTCCTGGGGTGAGGACAGCGTGTGGTCACCGCCTGGCGCGAGACAGGGCCACGGCTGTCCCGGGCGGGCATTCATTCTAGTCAGGCCTTCCACCACGGGACCCACCCTGGCTGACCCAGAAGCTCTTCCCTGCCCAGGGCAGCCCACCTCCTTTCCACCCAATTCCTTCTATGCCACGCTTCTCGCCTTCTTGCTGTCCAGTTGTCAAGGGAGGGGGGCTAATTCTTGTCTTGTGTTTCTCCTCAAATATGCTATGAACATCCCAGAGATTGGGCCAGCAACCCCATCCGCAGCAGCTCTCCGGGGCTGGGAGCCGCAGGGCGCTCTCTGTCCACTGGGTGTCAGTGTGAAGCCAGGCACTGGCAGGGGGCAGAGATGAGAGAAAGTGGGGAACAGCTGTACCACAGGGGGCCATGTATGGATGGGCCTGGAGGGGCAGACAGGCCTGTCCGGAAACAGTATGGAAGGCTCAAGGCGGGGCCCATCTGCTGGCCTCGGGAAATGTGGCCAAGTGGGTGTCCAGGCTCAGAAGGCCGGTGGCCTGAAGGGTACTAGAGCCACATGGAAGCTTCTGGGACCTTCAGAGCTGGGCTAAGGAGTCTACAGGCAGACCCTGTTTGTGTGTTAATTCCGAGGTCACCCAGGCCTGGCCACCTCCCTCCTGGCTCTCAAACAGCAGCTTGTTCGGGGTGTGGGGGTGTCCCAGGACCCTGGCACCCTGTAGGCAGGTTTCTCTCAGGTGGCCTTGACCTTGACAGAGTGGCTGTGGGTGTCGTTCAAGTTGCCGTGTAGACGTTCAGCAACTGTCACAGGTCCAGTCCCACGGGGTGGGGGGAGGCGGCGGGGGATGTCCCCTCCTTTACCGTGCCCCACGACAGCTCCGGGGGAGTCTCAGGAAGGGGACAGCTGTCTGCAGCGGGTGGCCTTGAGGGCAGGGTCTGGGGGTCCTCCCTGGCACCTCCTGGGTGCCCTGGGCGCCAGGCCCTTGCTGGATGGCGAGAGCAAGACTGAGCTGGTCCCTGCGCTGCTGGAGCCCGCCCTCTCCTAGGTCCCGACACCACATTGGCCTCTTGGTGGCTCGATGTCTGTGAGGCGCCTGTCACCCTTGCCGGGGCCAAGGGAGCGGGGCAGCAGAGAGGACACACAGGCCCAGGGTCCTTACCCGCTCCAGCTTCAGTTTCCTCATCTGGAACCTGGAGGGGACTGGATAAGCACCTCTGGCCCTTCACAACCTCTTGGGGTTCAGCTACCTGGGCCCAACTGAGAGTGGGATGCTCACTTGTCCCCACCCCATCTCCGGGGATGACACCCAGCCCTCCCCCACTTTGCTGTCATGATGCCACGCCTGTCTCTAACTTCCCACCAGACGGTTCCGCACCCTCCCTAGGCCTCCCAGGGGGGTCGGGAGCAGGGTCTGGCCCTTCCTTGTACTGGGGGCCCGCGCTGTCTGGGCAGCCGGAGGGCCGCGCACATGGACACACACCCCCTGGGGCCTGCAGGCTCCAGCCCCAGGCCCATGCAGTGGCCACCTCCAGGCCACATGGGGTCACAGGAGCGATGGGCTGCCGGGCCAGCAGGGCAGCAGAGTGGGGCCACGGGGGCCTCTCCCAAGCCTCCTGGGCCTGTGCCCTCCATCTTGTGCCACGCAGGTCTGGCAGACAACGCCAACGACTTGGAGAAGCGCAGACAGATCTACGGGCAGAACTTCATCCCTCCCAAGCAGCCCAAGACCTTCCTGCAGCTGGTGTGGGAGGCGCTGCAGGACGTGACCCTCATCATCCTGGAGGTGGCCGCCATTGTCTCCCTGGGCCTCTCTTTCTACGCGCCTCCGGGAGAGGAGAGTGAAGGTGAGGGGCTGGCAGGATCTGTGGGTGGGGGAGCTGTGGAACTGGAGAGGAGGGAGGGTCACAGACTGTCCCCCACCCCGGCGGCAGGAAGGCCCTGCCGCGTGAGCGTGACTGCCGTGCCCCCTCTGCCCTTTCCTTCTGCCCTCGGGCACAGCATGCGGGAATGTGTCAGCTGGCGCAGAAGACGAAGGGGAGGCGGAGGCTGGCTGGATTGAAGGCGCCGCCATCCTTCTCTCCGTCATCTGCGTGGTCCTGGTCACGGCCTTCAACGACTGGAGCAAGGAGAAGCAGTTCCGGGGCCTGCAGAGCCGCATCGAGCAGGAGCAGAAGTTCACGGTCATCCGCAATGGGCAGCTCCTCCAAGTCCCTGTGGCCGCGCTGGTCGTGGGGGACATCGCGCAGGTCAAGTATGGTGCGTGTGCTGTCACTGCCCCTCCCGGGGGCCGGTAGGCCAGCCGCTGGTCCAGGAGGTGGGGGCTTTCCTGGGGCCCCCTGGTCAGGCCCTTCTCAACTGGCCACTGAGCTTGGCACGCTGCGGGCACCATTCTATGTTTACCAAAGGCCCCAGCTGGCAGCCCGGAGCACAGGGACCTCTGGAGGCCAGAGGTGGGGGCTGGCAGGAGGCCAAGCACCAGGGTGGGTTTCGGAGGGTGTCAGAGAGCGGGAGCAGGGGCACGTGCAGAGGGCTTCCCCGGGGCCAGGGGTAGGTGTGACCCCCCCAGAAAGGAAGAAGGCCCCACTTCCATAGGGGCCTCCCTGGTCAGGTGTCGGGGCGGGGCTGCCTGAACCTCCTGCACTCTGGCTGCCCTGCTGCCTTAGGGGACCTGCTGCCGGCCGACGGGGTGCTCATTCAGGGCAACGACCTGAAGATCGACGAGAGCTCCCTGACCGGAGAGTCCGACCACGTGCGCAAGTCTGCCGACAAGGACCCCATGCTGCTCTCAGGTGTGGCCCGGCCGCCCACCGGCAGGCGGCAGCCCCACCTCCCTCTGGGACAGCGCAGACTCTCCCTCAACTAGGGCCTCCCGGAATATCCTTCCGGGGCGGGAGTCTGAAGGCCTCTGCCTCTGCAGGGCTGCCTGGAGGCTCGGTGGGAGTGGCTCTTGCCTCAGGGGCATCGTGGTCCCTCCCCATGCTCCCAGGGCCCTGGTATCCTGAACAGGAAGCCCCTAGAGGTGAGGCTGGCTCTCGGTCAGCATTGCACTGTGCTCTTCCACAACCCACACCATCGAGAAGAGCCAGTGGGGGGCGGTGTTCCCTTTCCAGAAGGTTCTTACTTAGCGCAGTCTCATCCCAGGGGCAAAGGCCCTGTGAGAAGGAGTAGAAAGGCCTGTGAGCGCCCCACCCCCGAGCTGGGCCGCAGGGCTGAGCATGCCTCCCACCTGATGGGGCAACCTCCTCTACCTCGGTCTTTGTATTGCTGTGCCAGGCACTCATGTCATGGAGGGTTCCGGAAGAATGGTGGTGACGGCCGTTGGTGTGAACTCCCAGACAGGCATCATCTTTACTTTGCTTGGAGCCGGCGGAGAGGAGGAGGAGAAGAAGGAGAAGAAAGGTAACAGGCCAAGCCCTTGCTTCCTGGCAGGGCCCAGATGGCCCTCGGCGCTGGGGGAACAGTGCTAAGGGGGTGGGAGGTCATACCCTCTCTTCGTCCTTTTCGGGAAGTCTTTCTCCAGGGTCTCTGACCTGGAGCTGGCAGGTCAGGAGACCCTCCAGTTGTGGTTAACAATACCATCCCTCGGCTGGCCTAGGCCTGCAGGCTTGCTGATGTATGTGTCACCAAGGTGCACAGAGCGCCTGGCCTGGGCAAGAGACAGGCTCAGAGAGGGGCTGGTCGCCCCAGCTTGGGATGCTGCTGGTGGTGCCTCATGCCCACCTATGGGGGTGTTCAACCCCATGGTGAGGTCATGAGGAGATGTGGGTCGTGAAGCCAGAGACGGAGGGCTCTGGAGAACGAGGGCCCCAACTCCACAAGGGCCGTCCAGGTGAGAGGAAGCTGAGTGACATGGCGGCCGTTATCCCAAGGGAGGCAGTGCCAAGGGGCCTTCTGAGACCCTGGCTCTGCAGCCATGCTGGCCTCCCTGGCACCCTGCCGCCCTCTGCTTCCTAATGCCAGCCCCAAGCCTGAGCATGTCCTTTCCACTCAGCAACGCAAGCTTCCAAAAATGCAGGGCTACCCCCAGTGTCCCCCCTGCCATGCCCCCTTTCAGTTTATGACGCTGCTCATGACTCACCGTTGTTTGACCTGGCTTTGTCCTCAGACCTTTCCTGCAGCCAAACCAGGTGGGAAGTGGCTTTGTCTAGAGTGCACCTCACCTCAGAGGATCCACCTGGGCCCAGCTGGAAGTGTCTGTGGGGAGAACATATGGGGTAGCCTGCCCCCCAGCCCTGAGCTAACACAGTGCTAGGCAGGGGACCAGGGGGTACCAGTCACCAGCCTCATGTCTGTCAGTCAAGGCCACTGGGATGGGTCAGCCTGGCTCCAGAACACAGGGGCAGGTCAGTGAAGAAGGCTGTGCTAGTGTCCCATGTGCAGGGCCACTGCCTGATGCGAGCCTCTGCTGCCCAGAAGCCTGCTCAGGCCCTGTCTCCAGCCTGGTCCCAGCCTCCCTGCATGGCCACCCTCTGCTCCTGCCGCCAAGCCCAGGCTGTCCACAGTGAGCACGCTGGGCCCACAGGTGGGCAAGTGGGAGGCTGGGCAGGGACCTTAGGCCTCTCACCCCAGTGGCCCAACTCACCTGGCCTGGCGACCCCTCCCCTAGTGATAGCCCAGTGGCTGGGTGGCAGGGGGTCCCTCACATCGGTGCCTTGCTGCCCAGGATTCCGGGCACTGTTCAGTCCCTTACATCTCACTGTCCTTCCTGACTCGGCCCTCGTCATCCTTAACAAAACTTGCCACCTCACGTTCCAGTCCCAGGCCCTGCTTTACTCCAGCACCCCCCACGTTGTGCTACTAAACGTAGGGAACACTTCCACCAGTCAACTTCCTGGAGGAAAAAACCCGAAGGAGGCCCTGGTGGGGAGCAGCGCTCTCACAGAACCGCCTTCTCCTCGGCACAAAGCCAGCACCTCCCTGTTGCCTCCCCCTTGCCCTGCTCACTGCCCTCCCTGCCCCCCTCCTGGTCTTTGCCTTTGCCTTTTGCCTTTGGCCATGTCATGATTCTTTTGGGGGTGCCCTCTTTCCCTTTCCTCTTCTGTGGCCTCCCCTGGGCCTCCTGCCCCTCAGGGCTATCCTCTGAGCTTCCTGCAACGTCCCTTCCTGGCGCTGAATTGCCAGCATATTTCTATGGGTTCCTCTACCCCCAGACTCTCCTTCACTTCTGAACCCCACCCCACACCCCCACAGAATCCCTGGGCAGAGAGGGCCAGACCTGCACCTTTCCCCACCCCAGAGGGGACCTCTCCCTGCTCCCTGCTCCCTGGGGCCCCCACATGCAACCCTGCTACTTGGGAGCCGCCTGGCACACTCTGTTCATGGACCCCTGGCAACCTGAACTATGGGTGAGGGCTGACAGACCAGTGCACGGCCCTTCCTGCTGCGGATGGCGCGTCTGTGGACCAGAGCAGGGCAGGTACGGCCTGAGGAAATCACCTCAATTAGCTGGCCCGCCTGCGCCCTATGGCAGCAAAGCAGGAAGAGCCAGGGTGTGCTCCCCGCCACCGTCCCTGTGCCTGTTGAGACCCTGGGCCTGCCAGACAGGCCTGGGCCTCCCAGAGTTGCCTTCCTTCCTGGCTTTGGAGACCAGAAGAGGGACAGCGCTGTTTACCTTGACCTTGGGAAGGCAGCCCTTCCAGAAACCTCTCACGTGGCCCAGGCTCTGCCCAGGGCTGGCTTTAGGCTTCACGGGAGGGCTGAGGTCAAGGCCCAGCGGAGCGCCGGCTGGGAGTCTCACTCAGGAAACCCAGAGTGTGCTGGTGGCCTGGCTTGCAGGGAGGTGGTGGAGTGTGTGTGGGAGCCTGGGGAGCCTGGGGCACGGAGAAGGCCCCTCCCCCTGTGGTGGCCACACTGCGCGCTGAGCTCCCCCCCCCCCCCCCCGCTGTCCTATGTGTGCGCGTGCCAGGGCCATGTGGACGTTCTCAAGTCTTGGTGTCTGTCGCTCCTCTTCCATTGTAGGCAAGCAGCAGGACGGGGCGATGGAGAGTAGCCAGACCAAAGGTAATGGGGTGCTCAGAGCTCCGGGTGCGGGTGGGGTTGGGGGAGGACGGGCCGCCACTGGGCAGGCTCAGTGCCCAGAGGTCAGGTGAGTAGGACAGCGGAAGCCCAGAGACGGCGACCCTCCAGGTCTAACCCAGCTTGGGCCTTTCCCAGACCGGCTGCCCTCTTCTGTGCCTTTGAGTTGGCAGAAGACCAGGCCCCCCTCAGCCTGAAAGCCTGCAGGGTAGGGTTGTGCCAGCCGGAGGGCCGGGCAGCAGGACCCAGGAAGCAGGAGAAGCAGCTGATGGCAGCCCAAGCAGGAGAGTCAGGTCAGGCCAAGTCCACTGTGGCCTTGCACAGGCAGAAAGGGCTGGCAGTGGTCAGCCCTAGCCCCTGGGGGCCCAAAGGCAGCTAAAGCCCACAGGATAGGTCACCGTCCAGAAAACTGAGCTCAGGAGCTGGGGGCTGTGCGTCACACCAGCAAACGGAGTTGGGAGGCCCCTGGGTTTGGGAGACCACTGGGGCCAAGGAGACAGCCCCATGGCCAGGTCTCCCAGCTGGGGCAGGGAGTGGCAGTTGTGGGCATGGCGCAGGAGTGCCCAGCTGGGCCCGGCCTCTTGTGTGGCTGTGTCGGTGAGTGGTGCTGGGCCGTGGTGGGGAGAAGGGAGTGGTGGGCAGACTGGAGGAGACAGGCAGTGTTGAGACAGGGCAGTGCTGAGGCTGGGGCGCCAGAGCTGGTGCCAGGAGCACCAAGAGCCCCCTTGGGTGGGGACAAGGGTGGCAAGGGAACGGCGGAGTCACTAGTCTGGGCACCACTCTGGGTGGTGACTGACGGGATGGCGTGGACCAGTCCGGTTGCAGACCCCAGCAGACTGTGGGGCTTGTGAGGCGGCAAAGGTAAAGGAGGCAGGTGTAGGACATGGCACCGCCATGGCAGGGCGCACAGGAACACAGGGCCCGCCTGGGGGGCAGAGGGGCCGGAAGTGGTAGAGAAAGGTGTGGGCTGACCCGCTGTGGCTGGAGTGGCTGAGGAGCGCAAGCGGGGAGAGAGGGGGCTGCCTGAGTGGGGAGCGAGGTGGAGAGAGGCATGGGGAAGTAGCTGGACAACAGTGGGCCAATGAATCAGCTCTGGGCTCTGGAATGTTCCTTGGGCCACAAGCCTCTGCTGTCAGGTATTGAGGTTTGGGGCGTTCCAGGACCAGCCACCCTGTCTGTGTGCCCAAGACACACCCTGTCTGTGTGTCACTTGTGCGTCCGTCTGTCCTTTCCCCAATGAGGCCCTGAGAGAACTGTCTGTGTCCCACCCAGCACAAGGCCGGCCCTTGGGAGGGCGGGACTGACCAGAGAGGAGGGAGGCAAGAGAGCAGAGAAGGCCCCTGAACCCGTCTCCTCTCTGTGGCATTGCCTGTCTCTCCCTGGTAGCTGGTACCCCAGCTGGCACACAGCCCTGACCTGGGTTTTGGGGTTCCTCTGTGTGCAGCTAAGAAGCAGGATGGGGCAGTTGCCATGGAAATGCAGCCCCTGAAGAGTGCGGAGGGTGGAGAGACGGAGGAGCGGGAGAAGAAGAAAGCCAGCGCGCCCAAGAAGGAGAAGTCGGTGCTGCAGGGCAAGCTCACCAAGCTGGCCGTGCAGATCGGGAAGGCAGGTGAGGCGGCCGCGGCGCGGGGAGCACAGGGGGTTGGGGTGTGGGCAGTGAGTGGCCGGCGGTACTGGCGAGGTGGCAGGGGACAAGCCGAGGGTGGTGATGGCCATCAGGACCTGGCTCAGCCCCCTCTGGTGAGCAAGGACCGCAACCCCCTGCTGAAAGCGCTGTCTGCGACGGTCTTACCTCGCTTTCCCTCTTGTTCTCTCTCTGCCTCGCCCCTTTCACCACCTCTTTCTGCCCCTGCCCTGTGCGGCCTCCATGGCGCCTGGTGGCTGGGCAGGGCTGGTGATGTCCGCCATCACTGTCATCATCCTGGTCCTTTACTTCGTGATCGAGACCTTCGTCGTTGATGGCCGGGTGTGGCTGGCCGAGTGCACGCCCGTCTACGTGCAGTACTTCGTGAAGTTCTTCATCATCGGGGTCACGGTGCTGGTCGTGGCTGTCCCCGAGGGCCTGCCCCTGGCTGTCACCATCTCCTTAGCCTATTCAGTCAAGGTAATGATGACAGTCCCGCAGGGATGACAATCCCTTGGCACTAGGGTGCACACCCAGTTCCGGGTGAGCTCACCGTGAGGACGGAAGAGGCTGGGGTCGCTCAGGAAGAGCGGAGGCTGAGCAGGGATTCAGAGGGCAGCTCTGCTGGTCTGTCTGCACTGAGGGCCCCACCAGTTTCCGGCAGCAGATGCTGGAAAGCAGATGGCAGCGGTGGGCCGGACCTGAGGCTTGGCCTCTGCGGGGTGAGGGTGGGGACAGAATGGTGCAGGTGCAACTGACCACGGAGGGGATCAGGAGAGAGCCAAAGACACCAGGAGACGGGGCTTTGGGGGTAGGGAGGGAGCTTCGGAGTCAGCAAGTAACAAAAGAGGGAGCAACTGTGGGCAGGGGAGATGCCTGGGGTGAGTGTGTGCTCAGCCTGTCTGGTGAGAGGCCTACAGGCTCTGCTGTCAGCCCGGTCAGGATCGAGGCCCCTCTGAGCTGTCAGCACCCCCCGGAGAGCTGCTCGGGCTGCCCCCGCCCCTGCGAGCCAACCCCGGGACAGCTGGCTCCCCAAGCCCCGTCTGCCCATCCAGAAAATGATGAAGGACAACAACCTGGTGCGCCACCTGGACGCCTGCGAGACCATGGGCAATGCCACGGCCATCTGCTCGGACAAGACGGGGACGCTGACCACCAACCGCATGACCGTGGTCCAGTCGTACCTCGGGGACACCCACTACAAAGAGATTCCCGCCCCCAGCGCCCTGACCCCCAAGATCCTTGACCTCCTGGTCCATGCCATCTCCATCAACAGTGCCTACACCACCAAAATACTAGTGAGCCAGCCGGCGCCGGTGGGGGGCAGGCCCCAGGGAGGGCACGAGGGAGTGCAGCGGGCCTCTCGGGAATTTTCGGGCAGAACTATGATGCATTCTGGGCTGCCAGTCACCCCGGCCTCAGCGCAGCTGTCCTGTGCCAAGCCCCTTCTGAGCCCAGTGAAGGGTTCGAAACCTGGCAGCTGTCTAGTCAGCAGGGTGTCTGCTCCCTGCCACCCACACCCTAAAGACTCAGGAGCAGAGGCCAGGCTAGAGTGCGGGGGCCGTGTGGGTGGAGGGGGCCCGGGGCCAGGCTGCTTCTCTCACCCGCAGCCTCCAGAGAAGGAAGGCGGGCTCCCGCGCCAAGTGGGCAACAAGACGGAGTGCGCGCTGCTGGGCTTCGTGCTGGACCTGAAGCGGGACTTCCAGCCGGTGCGGGAGCAGGTGCCCGAGGACAGGCTGCACAAGGTGTACACCTTCAACTCGGTGCGCAAGTCCATGAGCACGGTCATCCGCACGGACGGCGGCTTCCGCCTCTTCAGCAAGGGCGCCTCGGAGATCCTGCTGAAAAAGTGAGCGGCGCGGGCAGGCAGGCCAGCAGGCCACAGGCCGGCGGGCAGGCGGGCTGGTGAGCGGGCCTCGACACTGCTTGTGCGCCCGAGGGCGGAGGTGAGCCCTTGCGAGCACTTTGTGGCAGGCAGTTCGGGGGAGCCTTGAGTGCACGCAGTGGGGCACTCCAGCCCCCGGCCTGTTCCAGAACTCGACTGTCAGCCCGCAAAGAATGCCCGTCCAGCGCGCTGCTCTCTGAGCTCCGCCTTGGCCTCTTGCGCAGCCCGCAGCCCGCACGACACCTGCGGCTCCTTTCACTGGGCTGTGTCGCACGCCCCGCTGGGGGCAGAGCCGGGCTCCCTTCCCTTCAGGGCCGAGCACAGCCCAGCGCCTGGGGGGACGCCCCTGTCTCCCGAGCTGGCAGAAGCCTGGTGTGCCCATGTCATCTGTCGCTGACCTTCCCATTCTCTTGGGGGGTCTTCCTGGGGAGGGGGGTGGCCAGGTCCCCTGGGAAGTCCGTGTTGATCCTTTCAAGAAATTGTCAGACCGTTTTCCTGGGGTGCAGTCCATGTCACCCCCACTCTCCAGGAGGGCCCTGGCTTCTTGTCCTCAGCGATACGCAGCGCAAGGCGGGGCTCGGGGTGCCCGTGATTCGCATGGTCTGATGCCGCCTGCACCCCTCCTTCAAGTCCTTCACCATCTCCGCGCTAACCTACTTGTCCTGTGCCATCTGCGCGTGTGTCTCTTCACTCTCCTCATCAATATTTTTCACCCTTGCCTTGTTTCTTCTGTTGCTGGGAGATGTCACGGTCCATTTGACCATGGTGAAGGCCGCAGCCACGTCAACAGACCCAAGGCCACTGATCTGCCACTTCAAGTGGCTGAACAAGAGGGCGTGGGGGGACAAGTCTCTCACAGAAACCGTTAGGAAAGGCGGGGAGCAGGCCGCTTTACCTGCTGTCCCAGGCCCCCAGGCCCCCAGGCCGTGTGGGCTCAGTTGCAGCCCCCATGGGCGGCAGTCGGAGGCCAGCTGGCCCAGAGCCGCCTGCCAAGCCACCACCTGACTACCTCGAACCCGGTCGCAGCCAACCTGCACCTCCAGGACCCAGTCCTCTCAGGACATCCAGGGCCTCCTCTGCCCCCAATGCGCCCCCACCTGGCCGTCCTCTGGCCTCTGCACATGGCTGCCCCATCAGAATGCTCTCCCCCAAACTCCACTGCCTCACCCACACAGCCATGTGGCAGCTGGACTTGGAGCCCCCCTCTTTCTGGGTGTCTTCCCAGGCAGGTACCATGGGCGGAAGCCCAATTTCTGAAGCTGGGGTCTGGACCCCATCGCCATATCTGCCCTTTGCTGGTTGTACAAGCAGGGGCGAGTGTCTCTACCACCCCAAGCCTCGGTGTCCCCTGTAAGCAGAAGAAGCAGGAGTGGGGACCTGCTGGCAATAGGTGAGGCCACACGAAGCCAGGGTCCAGGCAGCTTCTGCAATGTTCATTCCCATCCCCCCATCCTGGCTTCCACAGCTTCTCCTTCCTCCCTTCCTCACGGGGCCCTTAGTCTCTTCTGCACCAGAGTCCTGCCAGGCCCTCCCACCCAGCCCCCTGAGAAGCTTCCAGGGCCAATAGGTGTCGTGCAAGCTCAGACTGTGGTTGCTGTCTTGTCATTTCCCTACCCTGGTCACAACTGATTGACCCTGGCGTTTGCTTTTTGCTGCTCCGTAACCCCAAAGCCCAATGGGGCAAGAGTGATGGACCTCAACTCCCACTGAGTCTGCATGCAGCTGCGGTAAGCGCTGTGTCTGCCCTGGCTCCTCCAGGCAACACAGGGAGCCCGAGCGCTCCTAACCCACACGGGCCCAGCATTCCAGGTCCTGGGGCTGCTGGGACGAGGCCCTGTGGACCCAAGGCCTCAGCGCTACACGGATCTGCTTCTCCCAGTGCTGGAGGCCAGAAGTACCAACTTGGGGTGTGGCCAGGACCTGGCTTGCTCTGCAGCCTCTAGGGGGAGCCCTCCATGTCTCTCCAGCAGCCTAGGTGCTCCCGAGCTTGTAGACATGCCACACGGGCACGTCTCTGCTGCACGTCCCGTGGCTCTCTCCCTGCACCTGTGTGTCCTCGTCTGTCTTCGTAGGACCCCGGCCGTTGCGGTGGGACCTACCCCCATCCAGTGTGGCCGCATCTAACATTTGCCATGACCTTATTTCTAAATGAGGTCACATTCCGGGGCTCTGGGGAGAACATGCCTTGTGGGGGAGGCCCCACACCAGCCCAGCTCCTTCCTCATGCAGAACCCCCTCTGCTGTTGGATGGGGCCTCCGCCGAGGCGGGTCCTCTTTTCCGCCCGCCCAGGTGCACCAACATCTTAAACAGCAACGGCGAGCTCCGTGGCTTCCGCCCTCGGGACAGGGACGACATGGTGAAGAAGGTCATTGAGCCCATGGCCTGCGACGGGCTGCGCACCATCTGCATCGCCTACCGGGACTTCCCGGCCGCGCAGGAGCCCGACTGGGACAACGAGAATGAGGTCGTGGGCGACCTCACCTGCATCGCCGTCGTGGGCATCGAGGATCCCGTGCGGCCGGAGGTAGCCGCCCTTTCTCCGCACGCGGCCTGGCTGCCGGGGCGGGCGGGGGCAGCCCCGCGGCAGGGCCTTGGACAGAATCACCAGGAGAGCGTCGCCCCTGTGTCCCGCCTTCCCAGCCCGCACACACCTCCTGCCAGAGTGGTGGGGCGCGGGGAAGCGCGGGAAGGGGGACCCACCCAGTCCTCGGGGCCATGACCACCACGCCCTGCCTCAGACCCTCCTGGCGCACCTGACCGCCTTGCCCTCTCATGTTGCACCCGCCAGACAAAGATGTGGGCCTGGGCTGTCCCCCAGGAGGTCCCAGAGGCCAGGTCCTCGGCCTCCTCCCCACTCAGGCTCGTCGTGACCACTTGGTGGCGGCAGAGCAGTGGCGCCCAGGTGCTCCAGGGACGGGAGAGCTTGTGTGCACAGGGGAGTGTGGCCCTACAGTTCATTAACAGCACCCCGTGACCCCCAAAGAGCAAAAAATGCCATGAGGCTGGGAGCAAGGAGGTGCACCCCGGGGGCGTGGCATGCAAACTCCTTTCCAGGGTCCCAGCCTTCTGGGCAGGGGTCATGGCCCCGCTCTCAGCCTGAAGCGGGGGCCCTCGAGCTGGGTCCCCGCCCCTCTTCTCACACCCGCTCTCCCTGACTGAGACCACGGCCACCCCCCGCAGCCCCAGGGACCACGGGCGCACCAGAGAGCCCGGTTCCGCCCCACCCGCACCCGACCTGGCCCGCGCCCCTGGGGCCTCCCACTGCCGCGCCCGGCCCCCAGCGCCCCTCCTGTCGCAGGCTCCCAGGCGTGGCCGCGGGGACAGGACACCGGGTGTGCTCACGAGGGTGCCCGCGGGGCTCAGTCCCATCCCCAGGGCTTTGGTCTCAGCCCATCGGGGCTCGCTGGGAGCCACAGGGGGTGGGGGGGTGGCGCTGGAAGCATGGACAGGGCAGGGGGCCAGTTGCCCCAGACTGCACCCCTTGCTGGGGTCCCAGGCCTGACCTCACTCCAAGCCCAGAGCTCTGAGCCTCCTCTGTGCTCCCAACCCCCAGGCGCCATCTCCCCATTCTTTGGGGACCTGTCCTGCCACCCCTGGGCAGGCTGCCACTGCCTTGCCGGCCTTGACCCTGCAGCGTCTTGGGCACGCAGTGCGAAGCTGACCTCTCCTCCCTCTCTCCGGAACCTCGGGTAGTATTTGAAAGCAGAAGGCGCTACCTAAGCAGAGCGAGGTTCCGCTCTTCTCACAAGGAGTGAGGAAAGCTGGTCATGTAAACCTACAGCTCAAAGAAGAAGATTCTTTCCTGAGGAAAGAGTCGTAGGTTTATATCGTAAAAAAAAAAAGGGGGGGAGGGGTGAGGAGGGAAGAGCCTCCTTTTTTGACAAGTGAGAGAAGAGCCTAGAGCTTGGCCACAGCTGCTGAGTGCCAGGAACCCGCCCTAAGTCAACGGCCCCCTAAGCCAGGGGCCGAAGGGACAAGCTCACCAACAGCCACCGCCACCCAGCCCGGCAAGCGGGCCGAGGCCTGGTCTGCCGCCAGAAAACAGGGTGACAGAACGAGGCGATTCCCACAGCCACCTTCTCAGCATCAGCTTCCAGGTGGCTTCTCCCACCATTGCTCCTGGTATCAGGGCCTGGGTCTGGGTCATCATCAGTCCCCGTCCCTGCTCCCCAAGGCGCGGCACAGGGAAAGGGAGGTGCTGGCGGTGGCAGCGCAACTGGCCTTTCTCCCTCTGGCTTTGCTGAAACCCAGGGGGCCTGCAGATCTGGGTGCAGCATGGGCCTCTGCTCTCCCCCAGGTCCCCGAAGCGATCCGCAAGTGCCAGCGTGCTGGCATCACTGTCCGCATGGTGACCGGGGACAACATCAACACGGCCCGGGCCATCGCAGCCAAGTGTGGCATCATCCAGCCCGGGGAGGACTTCCTGTGCTTGGAGGGGAAGGAGTTCAACCGGCGGATCCGAAATGAGAAGGGCGAGGTACGGCCCCGCCCGCTGCCCTGCCGCCCCGGCTTCCCGGCGAGGCCTCTGGCTTGTGGCCTGTCTGGGCCCGGCTCTGCAGCAACGTGTGCTTCCCTCCCAGATAGAGCAGGAGCGCCTGGATAAGGTGTGGCCCAAGCTGAGGGTGCTTGCCCGATCATCTCCCACTGACAAGCACACTCTGGTCAAAGGTAATTAAGCTTGCTCGCCTCTGCCCCACCTTTTGGCAAGGTGGCAAGACGTGGGTTGCCCCTGCGTAGTGTCTACCCCCAGATACCCAAAGCGAAGCTCACAACAGGGCCCTGCAGCCTGCCCAGGACTCGGCTCCTCGCTGTAGACGTCTTGCCATTAGACACTTGCTTCTTCCTGGACCTCAGTTTTCTCATGGGGCGTGTGGGCAGAGACACCCTTGAGAGGCTGGCATACCAGAGCTGTCCCCGCCTCTTCTCTGGGCTAATAATACAAACGGAGGATCCAGTGGAGGCTGCTCTCTTGTCATGACAAGGGGGAAACTGAGGCCCAGAAGAAGAGACATTTACCCAATCACGCACTCAGACCCTGGGCAGGGGAGGGAGACAGGTGCCTCAGGGGATGTGCTTCCAAAGGGTGGCCAGAGCCCACGCCCCTCCAGCCCCCCGGCCGGGCCACGCAGGTGACGTGGGCTCTGCTCTGCGCAGGCATCATCGACAGCACCACGGGCGAGCAGCGGCAGGTGGTGGCTGTGACCGGGGATGGCACCAATGACGGGCCAGCCCTCAAGAAGGCCGACGTGGGCTTCGCCATGGTACGGGCGGCAGGTGTCGTGCACTAGAGGGCGCAGCCAGCTCGGAGGCTGCACAGGCTGTGCAGGCTCCCCAAGTCGGGGCCTTGGTGTTTAGACAGCTGTGGCATGAGGCTAAGTGACGTGACAGTGAGGCCCGGCTGCAGTGCCAAGGGCTGGCAGAATGGGCTCATCGGCGTGTGGCCACCTCGCCAGGGAAGCAGGCCCCACCCCCGGCAGGCTGAGCAGTGTCACCAAGTCGTCTTTGCCTCTGTGCTTCTGTCCTGCTGCTACTGAAACCCTGACCCAGCTGAGCAGAGCGGTCTGCTGGGCACTGTCCAGGGACTCTTGAGCCCTGTGCCCTCGCACTACAACCTTCTACAGGGGGCCGTGCTTGGCCAGCCTCCCCACCTACCAGAAGGTGTGCCCTGCACTGCACTGGTTTGGTGGCAGACTGCAGAGCTGTACTCCAGCCCTCCCTGGAACCCAGAACCCCCAAAGGGGACCAAGCCCAAGCTCAGGGCGTGCAGAGAACTGAGCTGACTGCACTGGCCAGCGGCTCACATGCCCAGCCTCGGGCAGCAGAGAGACTGTGCGGCCTTGTGCGCCCACTGCCATCCCTGTGCTAGGGGCTGTGAGCAGCAAAGATGCAGCCCTTCCAGTGTGGGCGAGGGGCACAGGGGCCCCTTCATAGCTGCCCTCGCAGGCTAGGATGGGACAGACAGAAGGCTGGCTGGCGCTGTGTGGCACAAGCGGGGGAGCCTCTAGTTCATGAGCAAAGCCCAGCCCCATCCCTCCCAGGAGGCAACTTGCTACTGAGAGCTATTTCCTGTGGGGGAGCAGGGGTGTGTGTGGGGGGGGGGCGGGCTTTGGAAAGGAACCGACCCAGGTGAGCTAGGTGTCAAGGGAGACTGGGGCAGGAGCCCCATGGACACTGAGTGTGTCCTCCAGGGCATCGCAGGGACCGACGTGGCCAAGGAAGCTTCCGACATCATCCTGACCGATGACAACTTCACCAGCATCGTCAAGGCCGTGATGTGGGGCCGCAACGTCTATGACAGCATCTCCAAGTTCCTGCAGTTCCAGCTGACGGTCAACGTGGTGGCCGTGATCGTGGCCTTCACGGGTGCCTGCATCACTCAGGTGGGCACTGGAGACCACCTCGCCCCAGACCCTCTGGGCCCTCCCTCCCATGATGCAGGGGCCAGCTGGAAGTAGTGGTTTCCCAGCCTGGACCCCAAAGTGAGAGCAAGGCGGCTGGGCCAGCCTCCCACGGCGACAGGCTGAGGTCCACAGAGCCGTTTGCTTTGCTGCAGATGGTTCTGTTCCGATCAAACGCCCAGCCGCCAAGTGCCTCACCCAGGGTGCACGAACCATGGTTCTCTCCACATGTCCACAGTGTCATGAAGGACCACCTGTCTCTGTGGACTCGGTCTCTGCCCCTTGTTGAGGTGACTGCCTCCCTTCACAGGACTCTCCTCTCAAAGCGGTACAGATGTTGTGGGTGAACTTGATCATGGACACGTTTGCCTCTCTGGCCCTGGCCACGGAGCCGCCCACCGAGTCGCTGCTGCTTCGGAAGCCATACGGCCGGGACAAGCCCCTGATCTCCCGGACCATGATGAAGAACATCCTGGGCCACGCCGTCTACCAGCTCACGATCATCTTCACGCTGCTCTTCGTGGGTAGGCCGCCCCGGGACCCAGCTTCCCACTCTGTCGGGGGGGGGAGGGGCGGGACGGACCGGCCCCCCAGATAGCACATTTCCCAGGAGGATCCCCAGCCATCTCTGTGTCTGCCCCACTGGGTGTCGCGAGCCTTGGGAATGTTGAGGACACAGCGGCCCCGAAACCCTCACCCTGTCTGCCACTCAGTCCACAAGTGTTTCTCGGGGGGCAGTGACCAGAGAGCACCATTGTGAGCTGTACAAGAGGCGGGACCAGGACAGGATGGGGAGGGGGACTAGAGGTGACCCAGGCTCATGAGGCAAAAAGCGTGCAAGAGCAGCTTTGGGTGCAGGTGGCTGTGGGCGCAGGTGTCATGGGGGCGCGCAGGCTTGGTGGGGGCGGAGCTGGGAAGCCCAGAAGCAAAGCACGGAGCTCCAGGTAGCCGTGGAGGCCAGACCCCTGGAGACACCCACGCCCAGCCGCTTCCTGAAAGCCCTCTCCAGAGGCGGTTTTCCCTTAGGACCCGTGTTGGCACCACTGAGCAGACCCCTTTATTTACATGGGGGGCAAATTTGTCTCTTTCCCCTGCCGGCAGCCTCTCTCCCTTACCTGGGGTGCCGGCCAGTGTCTGTGACCTGCGCCACGCGGTGTGGGCCTGGGGAGGCTGAGCAGCTTCCCGCGCAGCGTGGTGTCTGCTAACGCACGGGAGTGTGGGGGCTGCCAGGCGGCAGTGGCTGGAGGGCCTGTGATTTCTCGAGAGCAGACGCCTCGCCCAGCTGTGCACCCTGCCCTGCAGGCCAATGACAAACCCTGCGCCACGGGTCTGAGGCAAAGAAGGTTCAGAACATTCAGTCATAACTTCTTCATTCCTGCCCTCAGGGTTTGGGGTATGGCTGCCTTGGCCTTGGCTGTGAGCTTGAGTTTGTCCCCTCACACTCATGTCACCGCGGGATCAGGGCTGCTGGGGGACACCTGCACCCAGGGCACGGCCCCCTCACGCACCGCTCGGCTTGCAGGGGAGCTCTTCTTCGACATCGACAGCGGGCGGAACGCGCCCCTGCACTCGCCACCCTCCGAGCACTACACCATCATCTTCAACACCTTCGTCATGATGCAGCTCTTCAACGAGATCAACGCCCGCAAGATCCACGGCGAGCGCAACGTCTTCCATGGCATCTTCAGCAACCCCATCTTCTGCACCATCGTGCTGGGCACCTTCGCCATCCAGGTAGGGCCGGGGCCCCACTCTCGGCCCCCTCAGCAGACTCTTCCCACAGACCCTGTTTCTAGCACTCCGCTCCTCCGTGTGAGGCCAGCGTAACTGTCGAAGGCGCTTCTGCGCACTCTGTGTGCAGTGTTGACACCATGGCGCTGCCTGCCACAGCTCAGGTCTCCAGGAGGGGCTGGGCATTGGAAAATAGGGGCTGTTAACAGAAAGTGTGAGGTATAGTGAGGCCAACAGTCTGGAAAGTCTGTCCCTGACACTTCTCTCAGGAGGGACCCGTCCTGCTGCAGCTCAGTCAGGAGCCAGAGGGGTTTGGGGAGCCATGGCAAGGAAGCACCCAGTGGCTAAGGACATGCAGGTGGGAATGACTTAGGGTTCTGGGTCTTAGAGTGTCCCCACCTATCTGGGACCTGGCCCTGGGTGACTAGGGCAGGGCACAGTGGCCTGGAGGTGAGGGTAAGGGGTGGGTCGCTCTGTATTTGAGAAGCTCACCCTGAAGTCAGGTTCCTCACCAGGAAGGGGTGACAAGGGACCAGGAGGCCCACGCCAGGTGACTCAGGCCTGTCATGGGCTGTCCAGCACCTCAGGCGGGCAGGCACAGAACCGTGAGTGAGCAGAGGTGGAGGTGCGACACCCCGCTGAGCCCACAAGGACACTTCTCTGAAGGCAGCTGGGCTGGCAGGGGCGGGGCCCCCAGGGAGGGAGTGGACGGGGCCTGACTGGGGCCTGCCGGTGGACCCAACCCCCTCTACCCTCCTGTGCAGATCGTCATTGTCCAGTTCGGCGGCAAACCCTTCAGCTGCTCCCCTCTGTCCACGGAGCAGTGGCTCTGGTGCCTGTTTGTTGGTGTTGGGGAGCTGGTCTGGGGACAGGTGAGTGTCTACCTCATCAGCTTGCCCAGACCTGCCCCTTCCCATCTGCTCTGTGACCGTGCCAATGATGGGCATGACGCTGAAAATCGAGGGCAGCCCTAGCCCGGTGCCTGGGAGAGAACGAGGCTTCTTCCAGTTGGCAGCACCAATGGCAGGGATCAGGCCCACAACCAGGCTCCACCCAGGAACAAGGCCGCAGGTGACAGCGTCAGCAGAGGACACAGAGGCTACGAGGTCACAGGACCCTAGCAGGGCCACCCACCACTCCCTTTCCATGATAGGAGCAAAAAAAAATCCCTAGAAACTGGAGGGGGGCATGGAAAATCACCCCATATGTGAAACTAACCAGCACCCTACTAAGTAATACAAGGGACAAAGAATATCTTGAGAGTAAAGAGAAAATCCCGATGCCAAGTGAAATCTTGTGGCTGCAGCTAAAGCTGCAAACACAGGAAAGTTCATAGGCCTCCATAATTAGAAGCACAAAATAGCACAGGAGGGCGATGGCACACAACAGACCTCTGCAAGCATTTCTCCGGAGTTCCAGAACATTGGCTTAAGACACTGACTCAGGATCCGCTTTGTCCTGTGTCTTAAGTCAGCTAGGCTGCTGCAACAAAATCCCAGAGCCTGGGCAGCTTGCACTACAGACATATGCCTCATGTCCTAGGAGCTAAAGTCTGAGATCAGGGAGCCAGCACAGTTGGTTCCTGGTGAGGGTCCTCTTCCTACTTGTAGACGTAGACAGCCCGCCTCTCACCGTCTCCTATGTGGCAGACGCAGAACATGCTGTATCTATCCTTCTAGATCATACCACCCCACTTCCTGGTGGCCTGTGAAACACCAGCCCGTTGCACACACCAGCCCTCCCACCCTCCCCTGTGGCAGAGCCGTGTTTGGGGGCCACAAGTTGGCCACTCTTTGCCCACACACCTACTGTCCTCTCTTGTCTGCTCCCTGGACCACTAAGGTGCTAGAGCCTTGCCGCGCCCTCTCTTGGCCCCTGCCCAGCCATTCCTCTTCATGCCCTTCCCGGCTGTCCCCTGCTCCTCTCACCTCCCCTCTGTCTCTGGTCTCCAATGTGTAGGTCCTTCCCTAGGCCAAGCTGGCCCCAGAGGCTTCCCTCCCTGGGTGAGGTCGGGATGCCCACAGCTGCCCCACCTCGCTGCTCTAAGACTCTCCCCTCTCCCTCCCTTCCCCTTCCTCCCTCCACTATCTCCCTCCCTCCTGCACCCCACTTCAGGGCTCCTGTGAGTGGCTATCTTTGGGTCTTTGCCTAGAGATCCCACAGGCCCCCAAAGGCTGCATCACCAATCCGCTTTGTCCCCAGCTCCTTCCAGCAATTCGGGGACCTGGCTGGGACCCTGGGAGCCATTCTCTCCCAGCCCAATGTCTGATCATTCCAGATCATCCAAGTCTTGGTCTCTCCCTGTCACAAGGGCCACCAGCTCTGGGCCCTGGAGGGTGTTCCCCGCCTCTCCGGCCTCGGCACCGCCCCTGCACGTGGTCCTTGCTCTGTTGTCTGTCCCAGCACTTGCTGCACACTCCTTCCGCATCTGTCCTCGCGTCCCCAGAGTAGACTGCCAACCCTGCCTTGGCGGCCTCTGTGCATTCAGCACAGAAATGCCAACAAGGGCCACGCCTCCGGGACCTGGGCCCTGGCCCCTCATGCCGCAGCTGCCCAGTTCTGGGCCCCGCAGCTGAGCCCTGCCCTTCAGCCCCTCAAGTGAAGCCACAGTGGCCACGCCCTGCCCCAGTCTGGACTGCGAATTTCTGGGTTCATCCTCAGGAGACGCCCCCGCCCGCCCCCCCCCCCGCCCCAGGCCTCAGCCAGGGTCTTGTGGGCGAATCGGCAGGTACTGAGCCTTTTACAAGTCCTTGCAGCAGCAAAAATATCCAGACTTGCTGAAGGCTCAGGTGCCGTATTTCTTTTAGCAATAAAGTGTCTCTCACTGGAGGTACGTATGCGTTTGCTTCGCTGTCACACACCTCCTAGACTATAGCACAGGGTAAAAGCCACTTTCAAATGCAAAAGAATTCGTCTATGGAACGCACCCCAAAATGCCTGTACACAGAAGGACTTAATGGAGGTGAAACTCTGGAGTCCCCAAGGACAACCTGGCTTCTGACAGAACTGCAATCTTGGGGGTCCCCAAGAGCACCGTCAGATTTGGTAATGCCTTCAGCAGACCTCCAAACTCACTGAGAATTGTCCTGCTCAAAGTTTCGGTCTGTTATAGCAAAGAGGTGGAGACCGGAGCCAGTGCAGGGAAAGGAGCGTCAGCTGTGCAGGGCCCCAGGCCCCGGGCCCGCCAAGACCCCCTCACCAGGCGGGGCATTCCAGGGCCGAGAGGTCCCTCTGGAGCCAGCCGCGGCCAGACCCTCCTTCCCACACACACTATGCAGGAAGCCAGGCCTGGCGGAGCCCACGTGTGAGGACCACCCGCAGCCTGGGGCTGGCCCGTACACGGCCTGCCTTGGTGTTCGCCCCGCCCCCCGCGAGGCCCCACCTGCAGGGATGCACCCCTCACCGCGAGACCTCTGTGCCTGCGTCTGCAGCGCTGCTCTTGGCGGCTCTCTTTAGCAGGAGAAGCAATGGGCTGCAGAGACAAGAGGGTGTCACCCCTCTGGAAGGCGGGGTTTGGCAACCGGCAGACATGACCTAAGCAGGCAGCACAAGGGACCAAGAAAGGGCCTCCTGTGCCCAGGTCTGCCCATGGGGATGAATTTAGGCCACCGAGGTGCCCCAAAATATGTCAGGGGCGTGGATGCTGGCCTCAGCCTGTGTCCCAGGAGGCAGGACCCGTCCCACTCAGGAAGACCCCACCCCTCGGACAACCCCTCTGCCCGCTGTTCCTCCCCTGCCCCAGGTCATCGCCACCATCCCCACCAGCCAGCTCAAGTGCCTGAAGGAAGCGGGGCACGGGCCGGGGAAGGACGAGATGACCGACGAGGAGCTGGCCGAGGGGGAGGAGGAGATTGACCACGCCGAGAGGGAGCTGCGCAGAGGCCAGATCCTCTGGTTCCGGGGCCTCAACCGGATCCAGACGCAGGTAAGCCGCCGTTCCGCCACCAGTCAGGCCTCGCGCGGCGCTGCAGCAAGAGGCAGACCGTGCGCAAGATGAGCCTGAGCCCCAGCCTGACAGGGAACCCCTGGGGTCTTGCTGCCCCGTCAGGCTGTGCTGGTGTCCTTACGCCACCCCCAGACATGCCCACAGCACCCACACCTCAGAGCCCCAGGGAGCCCACCCCACCGTGAGCGCACCTGCCACCTAGAGGTGTGTCCGGGTGGCCCATGCTGTGTGCTGTTCGCTCAGCCGCTGGGCCTCACCCTATTGGGCCGGAGCTGCCCCAGTTCACAGGGTTGAGGTGCCCGTTTCAAACAGCCGGTCGTTCATGGGGTTCTATCGTGAATTCCATGGGAAGCGGACGCTGGCTGCCAAGTCAGCCTTTTCTGTCCATCCCAACCTCCAAATATCAGGGCTGGCCAAGGCCAAGGCTGTGGGCTTTGGCCCTCAGTGAAGTCAGATAGCCACAGCACTGCCGGCCAGGCCCTGTCAAAGGCTTCACAAGAACCCACCTGCCTGAGCTCTGCCCCCAGATCTCCCTGGCCAGCCTCTCTGACCAAAGGGGCCATCCTCGCTCTCTCTCTCCCGAGTTTCCTCGTGCTCTCTGCTGTGCCATCACAGCCTGGCCCCTGCCTGCGAGGCCCCAGAGGCCCTTCTTGCCAAGATCTGCAAGATGCAGCCGCCCTCCAGCCTCCCTGCTTTCCAGCAACCCTCTGGACGTGCTTTCAGCTTGCTCCCCTTCTCCATCTGCTCCTCCTTCTCATGTGCCTGGCAGCTCTGCCTCCCTCTGCGACCCTCTATTGCTGGAAAGCCCAGGGACCCCAGGGCACTGGGCATAGCAGGGCAGGAAGGAGCAGTGGGTGAGAGGTGCCTGCCGGGTGGGAACCTGCCTGAGCCCCACCCCTCAGGCCCATGGAGCCACCAGGCCCCTCTCGACTGTGGCTCCCCTCTTTGGCTTCTCCCTTGACCTTGGACCACCTGCCCCCCAGCCCTGTGAACTTTGGCCTCTTCTTGAACAATTGCCCATAGCACGCCCTTCTCCTGGAAGCTTCCAGGTGGCAACCTAGTGCCCCTTGCTCACCATCTCCTCTTAGGCCTGGCCAGAAACCCCAACTCATGACCCCAGGCTCTGTCATCTCCACTGTCCAAGCCAAAGCCCCCAAGCATCCAGACTCTTCCCTGTCTCCCCACATCCCTGAGACATTAGCCTGGTCCCCGGCTCCACTCTGCTCCCTCTTCGAGGCAAGGCCCCAGGTAGCATCCCCACAGTCACCCTCCTCACCCCGTCCTCAAGGCCCCACCACATGCTGCTCCACCTGGGTCTAAGTTCCTGCTGCCCCCTTACCCTGCACCCTCCTCCCACCCCCCTGCCTCTCACCTCACTCCCCGCGCTGCCCAGCACCCCTGCCCCAGCTGCACCGGCTTCTCCAGCAGAGGGCAGGGCACCTCCCGGGGCCTGGCCAGACCCTTCTCCGGAAGCTGCTTAGGCAGCTCCCAGCCGTGCTCCCTCTGTTGCAGGTGGCTTGCCCGTTGTTCCCACACAAAACCCACGACTCTGTTGGGGCCCAGTTTGGGGCACCTCCTCTCTTCTCCCCAGGCCTAGCCTCAGCACTCACCCTCCTGCCTGTAACATCAGCCTGTGCTAGCTCCGACCTCCAGTGCCACCCTCCACACCTCGGCCATGCCCCCTCCCCCATCCTGAGGATGCAGCCCATGCTCCTGGCCGCGGCCTTGAGCTCCTGCCACCATCTTCTCCCCGCGTGCCCGGCGCCCCTCTGCAGGCATGCCTGTGCTCACCTGTGTTGTGCCTCCTCACTGCTGACTGCCTGGGCTCCAGGCCTCACAAACTCCCACAGGGTGCCCCCCCACACACACCCCCTCACCCTGCATAGGCCGTTCCTTGTGAAGCCTTCTCAGAGCCCACTCCGGCCCGTGAGGCGCAGAGCACTCCAGCTCTCACTGCCGTGTCAGTGTGTCCGGAGCGGGGCTGAGGGAGGTAGCCCCGGGCAACTCCCTGGAGAAGGTGCTCCCTGGGTCTCAGGCCCAAGTAGGCAGCATCCCGGACACCCCAGCCGCACGGCCTGAGAAGGATGTGTTAGGTCAGGCTGTGCAGCATTCCTGGTAGAAAGGTGGGGGGCACCTTTGTAGCCCGCTGCCCTGGTCTCCTGCAGCGCCTCCCGAGGCCCCGTCCGCCCTGGCCCAGCCCACATACCTCTTGTCTGTCTTGCCTGGTTCTGCTGCACAGCCAGGGCTGGCTCGAGCCTGGGGAGCCAGTGCAGGGGGTGCCTTGATCCCCAGGTTGCTCACTCGCCTCCATGGCACAGTCTAGGGCAGAATTCGCTTTTCTAGCCGCTGAGAGGTCCCCGGACCCGAGGCGTGGTGTAGCTAGGGTCGCTGTGCCCCGTGTGTCCGTGTCTCGGGTGTGGATAGAGCGGGTCCCCTCAGGGGCAGTCTTGGTTCTGGGCCGTGGTGACCGTCAGCGCCACATCGGTGCAGCTCTAATGCCCGAGGATACGGGCCCAGGCCTCCCCGCCCCCCGCGCACTCCGGACCCTCCAAGTCATTCCCCGTCGTGCTCTTGACCTTGTCCCTGCGCTTGTCAAGACCGCGGAAGCAGTCTCTGGGGTCCTGTAGTTCACCTTTCAAGAGCATCTGTTCTTTTTCATTCAAAATATTTACTTGAAAAACAGAAATAAAGCCCGGGCAGCCCCCCACTTTGTATGTATGCCCCAAGCCAAGAAAATCATCCTCTAAGCAGATTCCTGCATTTTTGAAACTACAAAATTGCTCCCCAGATTTCGGAGGCCGACACCACTTTTCATGTCGCTAAGTGAAGGCGTTTCGCACCCTGCTAGCCACGCTCGCGGTCACCGGGGGGCAGCGGCAGGGTGTCACCCCAGAATAAAAGAGACTCCTTCAAACCCAGAACACAGAGGTTTCTGAAACACGCACGCCGGGTCTGTTTCGCGTTCCACGAGACGCCCCAACAGCCACTGGGCCTTGTTCCTGGCCCGGGGGAGGGCCTCTTGGGGGCGGGGGCGGGGCCAAGGTCATGACTTGCTCTGCGACCGTCATCCATCAGGTCACCGCGGAGAAGTGTCTCTCCCGTCCCCGTCCCTCCGTCCCTCGCTGCCTCTGCCAGTGAGAGCCCGTTTAGAGAGGCTGTCGTTCCATCTTGGGGAGAGGCCGCCCAGGAGATGGCGACATTATGATCCTCTTCCTCCACTGGGCCTGCTACCAGGTGCCCAGCACTGCGCCAGCCCCTGCGGGGGATGCGCTGGGCAGGAAGGGGCTCACAGCAGCCAAGGGTCAAAATGACACACATCTTCATCTTGCTTGGGGGTGAGTGCGGACACTCACGCTGCCTCTTCCAAGGAGTCCGCCCCTATCAGACACCCGGATGCCCTGCCAGGCCTGGGACCCACACACGTAGCCTGCACGCTGCGGGCTGCAGGAAGGCGCACCGGCCTTGCCGCCCAATCACCTGGAGAACTGTGTGGTGCTTTAGAGAATTCCTCTCCACCTCCAAAGGCCCCAGGCCCCCCGCCTCTGAAGGCACCCCCACAGACGCGGCCCAGGTGGTCCAGGCCCGCTGCCTCCCTGAGGCGAGCCACTGGAGCAGAGTTCCTTGGGGCCTCCCAGCCGGGTGTGTCTGCACCCTGGCGCCAGCCAAGTGGGGTGAGGAAGTCTGAGCAGGGGCGGGGAAACCTGGGAGCTCACCCCCCCGCCCCCGCTCGTCATCTCTGGGGCCCAGCTCCCTGCGGATACCTTTCAGCGTGGATAACCCCGCACCCAGGCTCCCCTGGGGCTGCCCCTCGAAGACGTGGCGAGCAGCTCAGGCCCCAGCCAGCCGCTAGGAAGCCATGGAGCCCTCCAGGGTGACACCAGGGAGGATGGGCCAGGGAAGGGCCCCCACCCCCGCTGCGGCTCCTCTTTCTAATGGGAGCGTGTCGTATCCCTCAGGTGTGTTGGGGCAGGAAAAAGGTTCAGAGCTACTGACCAGCCACAGGTATTTATCGACGAGTGCTGCGGTGAGCGTATCGTGAGCGCCAGTGACGATTTCTAAACTGTTTGCTGTGTGCCCGTTGTTAACCCGCCCTCCCGGGCTCCTGAGCACTAACCACCTGCTCAGCAACCCCTCCGGGTGGAGGGTGCAGAGGCTGCCTAGGCCCAGGCAGTGCCCGGCTGCTCCCCAGGGCACGGGGCCCACCCCGAGGAGGCCCCGCAGCGCGCCGCGCGCCGTGTGCCCTGCCCTCTCCCACCCGCCCCCGTGCCGTAGCGGGGACAGCAGTGCAAGCCAACCTTTATCTCATTTTCTCTCCCACAGATGGAGGTAGTGAGTACCTTCAAGAGAAGCGGTTCATTTCAGGGTGCTGTGCGCCGGCGGTCTTCGGTCCTCAGCCAGCTCCATGACGTAACCAATCTTTCTACCCCTACTCACGTAATTCTCTCTGCTGCCAATCCCACCAGTGCCGCTGGGAGTGAGTCTTGAGTTCCCTTTCCTCTCATAAATGGCATCTCTGGGGGAGAAAAAGCCTCCCCGAGTCTTCCTTCTTTTTTCCAGTCTTGCATTCTCCGCTCACCGTGGCTTTCCGTTCTCTCGCTGTCGCCCTGCCCGGTCCTTCCCGCCAGACGGTGTCTCCAAAGCCATATTCTCTTATGAAATGTATTCAACCCGTGGCTGGACCTTCTGTTCTTTTCTTTGTTTGGTTTTGGTTTCAATTAGTGCTCCTCTGTCATTGGCTTTCTTTTCTTGAACTTGTTCATGTTGGCCGAGCGCTCTTCATGAACTTGGGCAGCTTCTGCTGGTGTCAGGGGCCGAGAAGGGAGGCCTGCAGGCTCAGGGGTGCCTTCTGGGACTGGAGGGGCACAAGTGCCTTAGTGGCATCATTTACAGTGGAAGGATGCAGCCTACCTACACGGGGACTGAATCAGCAGTTTCCAGAACTCTCCTTCAGGTGGTTTCCCAAGACAGTAGACCTGCCGTCACCTGTCCCCAGGTGGTGCCTGCCCCGTAGGCCCTGGCCACGTTTCCACTTGTTCCCGAAGCACCTTCACTCTTTCCAAACAGGCCTCAGGATGGGAAAGTCTCAACCCGATCTGGTCCTCTCCTCTGTCCTCCAAGAAGCCGGGAGCAGTCGACTCCCCTCTGTGCGCTTCAGTGCCAAGGTCCCGCCATGTCGGTCACACTGTAAAGAGAACCCAGGGGCTGTCCTGAAGAGGTAGAAACTTCCCAAACTGCTCTCACCATTTTACAAACACAAGGGGGAGGCCTGTAGACCACTGAGTGCGTCACCATCACGGTGCCCCAGCGACAGAGGATGCGGGCAGGAGGAGGTCCCCGCTCCCCCAAGCTGACAGTGACCCTTCAAGTCGGAGCCCAGAGCCCTGGCAGTGCAGTCCTGCACCACCTCTTTCCTTTCCTTTCAGTGAGGCCGGCACTCACCTCCGTGAACACATCCCTCCCCCAGGCGGGAGTGTTTAACTATGCCTTTTTCCTCACCAGACTGCCCTGTTCTTTTGCTTGATTTCTTCTCTTTTCCCTTTTGCTTTAGTCTTGTCTCTTTTTTGTTTGTGTTCCTCCTTTTTTTTTTTTTTTTTTTTTAGGAACTGGTGAGAGGTCCCCACTCTGGGGGGGGGCAGTCCCTCCTCTTGCTTAAGCTGTTGTTCGGGCCACTCTGCCCTTTAAGGAAGGGATGTGAGCCAGCAGCGCGCTGGCCCACCTTGCCTGCTTCAGGGACAGCGAGCATGCGCACACGCACCCTCCAGAGCACAGGCCACACGGCCCGCCAGCTTCCTTGCACCCTCACTGGGCCATCACCGTGGGGCTGGAAGATTCTGCCCTTGTCCCCGAGGGGCCTTGCAGTCAAGAGCAGACAGGTGCCAGGCCTGGAAAGGGATCACTGGGGTGTGGGCCTGCCCCAGGGGCACGCCGATCTGCCCCTGCCCCCCACCCCCGACTTTCTCCACATTTCTTTGCCATCTCTCTCTGTGCTTCCTGTCCGTCTGTCTTTCCATCTGCCTGTCTGTTGACTTGGGGGACGGCGGCTGTCGTTCTGGCCTGTCTCCTTCCAGGACCTGCCTGGACCTCCCCTCCTGGCTCCTAGTGAGGCTACTGTCTCTTGGCTCTTTCTGGATTCCTCCTGCTTCCACCCCGGGGGCAGTCTGTCCTCTCTTCCTCGGCTCCTAGCACTTGTGGCCATCTGTCTGCCCCCTTCCCTCCTCGGGAGCCAAGCACTGCCTGGTAAGTACAATGGGAGAGGTGCCACCCTCTCGCGGATGACAAGCCACTCCCAGGACCTAACTAGTGCCTGGCCACAGGGCTTCTGCTGGGCGAAGAGCAGGTGGCAGGGCCCGGGGGAGAGCCGAGCACCTTTTGAGGACAGCAGTGGTGTGAAAGCAAGGGGCCCTGCTGTCCGACTGACAAGGGCCGGCTGAGCCGCAGCACCGTGGAAGGCACCTGCATGCAGGCCCGGCAGCACCGACAGCAGGAGCTGACCTTGGGGAAGCCGCTTCCAGAGCCACCAACCACCAGCTGCTGTTGCTATGTGGCGCGCTGGTCTGAGGGCAGAGCCGGCCCTGTGCGAGCTGCCCAGACCCTGAGAAACAGCCAACCCTGCCGCCTCATTGGACACTTCAGGAAACCTGACCAAGTGGGGTCTGCCACGGGCTCCCACCTCTCCTTGGAACTCACCAGAAGGAAGGCAGGGTGAAGGCTGTGATGGACCTCCACCGGCCGAAAGGTTGCCTCACAGGAGGCGCTGCACCCCAGGTCACGAGGTTTCCTAAGGAAACCCCAAGTGTCACATGGGGGATCCTGGCCTCACTTGCCCCGGGCCAGGCCCTCCGCCCAAGAGCTGTGGCGAGTCCCAGCACCCAGGGCCACCTGTTCCACGTCGGCTCTGCTGAGAGCCTTGGGCTCACCGGGTACAAGGCCGAGGGAGGGTGCGGATGAGGAGCAGGAGGGCTGGGTCGACGCCTACTGCCAGTGACAGAAGTGGCCAGGGACTGTCCTCAGGGAGAGGGAGAGGGCCCCAGGGTGAGCGGTGTGCTCCAGAGAGTGGCCTGCAGAGCTCACGTTCCAGCCACCTCTGAGCTCCCAGAACCCCCAGGCCCACTTGTACCCACGCACCTTTGCACTTGTGGAGTCAGGAGCCCCAGGGCCGCCCCCCAGTCCCTCTGAGCACACGGTGCCCCAGCCCAGTCTCTCAGCCACCTCAGCACTCAGCCGCACCTCACGGCTGGCTGCCCCGAGGCACCATTTCATTCTCAGCCAAAGCCTCAGCTGTGGCTCCGGGAAGAGCGTTGTCAACAGCCGCTTTCAGTCTCTTGGAAGCCAGAGTCCTTGCCCTGTTGCTGTGTGGGTCACCCCCACCCCCCGCCATTCCTGCTCCAACCATGTGCTGACACTGAAGCTGCAAGAAGCTCAGGACCCACCCCCAGCTGAGAGTCCGGGTCCAGGGTGTACTGGGCGGGGGACTCCATTCACTGGCCTTTATGAGGAGCAGAAATGCAAGCACCGCACGGCGCCTCCACCTGGGAATAGGGTCTTGCAGACATGCCCCCAGCGCTTCCCAGCCACACGTTCAAAGCCACCTGCCCATCAGCTCACGCAAGTCCTTCCCATTCCAACGGCCAGCCATGCTGGGCCCTCTTGCAGCCATGCGGCCTCCATCCCAGAGCCTGCACAGGCCTTGACCTGCCTGCCCTAGGGGCAGGGCAGGTGCAGAGACTGGCTAGATATGGCCAGCAAGCCTTTATTCTCATTGTCTGTAGCAACACAAAGACCTTCTGTCCAATTTGGCAGAGCTGGGCAGGGGACCCCGTGCCTGTTAGACCTGGGAGAGTCATCATGTCCCCGGGGGAGCGGCCCCCATATTAAGGCAGCCCTGGAGAGGGAGGAGCTTTGCGAGCGAGAGCAGTCATGTCGGCTGCCATTTGCTCCTCTCAGGCAGTCTGTTGAGTTCAAAACAAGCTTCCCTGCCCAGCATTTTCTCTTGGCTCTTTCACAGTCTGCCCACTAGGAAGGGTAACAGCCCTGCCGGTCACCACAGGCCCCAACGCTGGGCAAGAACTTCCAGGCAATTCCTAAAGCTCAAGGCAGCAGCTCGTGGTCTAAAGTGGCCCCCAGAACCCCTTTTCTGAGCCCGTCCCAGTAAACACTTTGCAGGCTGGCACCCAAGGCCCCAGTAGCCCAGGACACCCACTCAAGGCCCTGCAGGCGGGCCTGGCCAAAGAAGAGGCCAGACCTTGAGCGCAGCCTTCTCTGATGTCTGCCTTAGACACCACCCAAAAAGCCCGGCCTGGAGTGCCCTGTCCTGTCAGTGCGCACAGGCTGGGGGAATCCTCACAGCTGCCACAGCCCTTAGCATCTCGGCCAACCCTGGAGCTTGCATTTTCACATTCCCTGACTCCATGGTGAGGAGATGGCGCACCCCATGCTGCCCCTTCAATTGTGCCCCCTCCCCCCAGGAAGTGAGGCCTGTGGCCATGGAATCATGTCACCACAGGCTCTCGAAGATGCTTTTTATGATGCTTTCAAGTCATGATTCACCCTCACACCTACAAGGGGCCTGAGGGACCCCAAGTTTCTGACAAGCGGTCCCCAAGGCTCTCCTGGCTGCTGTGTTCAGAATTTTTTCTAATTCCAAAGCCTGGGTGCCCAGGGAACTTGCAGGTCCCGTCCTCACGAGGAAGGCTCCGGACTAGTGGTTGGTACAGATGGGCATGCCTCTGCAGCGTGTGGGGCTTTGAGGGAGCAGTGGACAGGAAGGTGCAGAGTCGGGGTGCACATCTCCGAGCTGGGGTGAGCTGGGGTGGTGGAGACAGGAGGGGTCCAGGGGGTCCAGAGATCCATGGTCACAGCTTATTTCTGCCGAAGGAGGAAAAGGCCAGATGCGCCGGGCACAGTGGCTGCTGCTATGTGGGCATCGTTGTCTGGGGCCTCTGCTTTGGTTTTCTCTTCTCTTCCCTTCTTTTCACCCCTTTTGCCATGCCTTTCAATGGGGTAGGGGTTTCCTCGGTCCTCTGCTCGCCCCCTCTCCATGTCCCTTTCCACCTCCAACTGCATTGAGACTTGACTGACTGAAGGTCAAGAAAAGCAGGGCACATCCACACTCGGCCATGACGTTCACCTGTCTGCTGACACCCTGACAATCCAGCAGCAGCATGTCATTTGCAGAGGGTGACACAGTGGCCCCTCCACTTCGGCTCGGGGTGACTGCTGGTCTCTGAGCCAGGGTCCAGCTGAAGGTAGATCAGGCCTGACATCAGGCGGTGGGGCCAGGGCCAGGTAGCAAACCAGCAAAGGGAAGGTCGGCTGACCCCAGGCGCGGGGGTCACGGGCCCCTGAGGAGAAGGAGGCAGAGTTGTGCAGAACCCTGGGCGCTATTTCCCAGCAAGGTGCTCTCTGACGGGTCCGTGAGCTGCTTCCAAACAGGGGGCGGACATCCGGGCGGCAGCACCTCGAGAGCAGTGCAGGCCTTGGAAGGGCAGATGTCACGGCAGTGAAGTGGGTGGAGCCATAGCATGAGGTGACTGCCAGGGCCTGTGGCCCCAGCTGGATCTGAAGACATCAGTGGCCCTTCAGGGGCCTTAGTTCCCCATGAAAGGCACAGACATAGGGTGCGTAGGGTGCTTGAAGGCAAGCCTGGCGGGTGAGAAAACAAAGCAGGAGCAGTGCAGAGCGCTGTGGGAGATGTTGCCTGAGGCGGTGAGGGGAGCCTGGCAGTAGTGGGGACAGCCTTCCTCGCAGACAGAACAGCCAGTGCACAGACCTGAGGCAGAGTGGGCCTCTCTGCTCGGGGAGGAAGCAAGAGGCTGTGAGCTGGAGGCAGGGAAGGAGGGAGAAGAGACACGCCCGAGGCAGGACCTCCATGGGGAGACACAGTCACTGAAGTGTCGGGCTCAGTGGGGGGTCTGACACGCCCCCAGCTTTCCTTTGGAAGGGTGAATTGGGCTGAGAACAGACAGTAGAGGTCAAGGGCAGCAGAGGCCAGAGAGGACACAGGCTGGGGGGTGATCTTCCCAATTCTGCTGTCAATCGAGGGCGGTCAAGACTGAGGGAGGGGCAGCTAGGGCGCAGGGAGCCGTGAAGGGGATTTGGCCCAATTCAGTTGGATACACAGATTAGACATCAAAGTGGGGGTGTGGAAGAGGTGTGTGGAGCCCCAAATCTGGCAGTCGAGATACGGGGCTTGGCAGCAGGCAGATGGGATTTCAGGCCTGGGCAGCAGGTGGATATGGACAGAGGAGGGAAGAGGCCCCAGGTGGGGAGACAAAGGAGGACAGCCAGGAAGCGGGGGTGCTGCTGTGGGTAGCACAGCGTGCCCAGCCGAGTCCTGGGCTGGTTAGGGGGATGTGGTGGCCAAGGAGGTGCCCCAGAACAAGGGCAGGAGACAAGTGCGGCAGCAGTTGGAAGAGCACAGCTCTTCAAGAGCGGGCACAGCTGAGTGACCTAGAAGAGGGAGAGGGACACGGCCGGGCTGACCCCTTTGAGTGGGAGCCCCGCTGGGCTGGGGTGGCAGGCAGTAAAGGAGGAAGCAGGAGATGGGGACATGTCCGGGGCACGTCAGCCCCCCAATCCTCCTGGGGCTCCTAGGAGTGCTTCTTCATGTCTTTCTTTTGCTTTTAAATTACCCTGAAATAGACTCAGGGGTCACCATTTGCTCAGATTGGTGTAAGCACCGCCGGCCGGGCCCCAGACTGCTCCACCATGTGCTAGAATCCTTGCAGGCCCCACCTACCAAGTGGGGGGTCAAGGCCAAATTCAGCAGCCAGATAGATAGATGGCTGCAGGGCCCGGGACACGGGCAGGAGCCGGGCAGTGAGGCCACATCTGTAATGGCCACGGAAAGTGAGTTCGGTTTCTTGTCATTAAAAACATCAAACGATTCTCAATCTCTGTCTTCCCCCTGTTTCAGAGGCTAATCCGGGGGAATTTGGTGGGACAGTTGGCCGTCTGCAGTCTGGAAGATGTGGCTCTGCCAAGTTCAGAGAAAATCCTCACTGCATTAAGCAGTGAGAAAATTCCAGCTCTAACTGGCTCTTTGACTCACGTTTTTGCTCTCGAGACTGCGGTGTTCGGCAAGCTAAACGTGCCCGAGGAGGGCTGTGCTGGGCCACCATTCGGCCCAGAGTCCTAGACGCTAGAGTTGAAAAGGGACTCGCTGTGAATAGCTGGATTCATGGTTCAAACCAGGGGGTGCCAAGGTTCTAATGATCCAGACAGTGAGACTGTGTTTAGCTTTCCTGGCCAGGGCTCTGTGGCAACTACGCAACTCTGCTCTCAGATGGAAAGACAGCCATGGACAAAGCATGAGTGAACGGGTGTGACTCTGTGCCAATAAACCCTTATTGAAGAAACCATGCAAAGAACCCTGGGGCACAGTTTGCTAACATCTTGACTAAAGCAAGAAAATCAAACCTTAGAGCCATAGCTCTGGAATGACTAGAAGGCGTCCACCTGGCTTAGGGGGTGGTGGGGGGGGGGGGCGCAGAGTCTCTCCACTGCCCCCTGAGGGAAGGCAGCTGAACTGCTTCCCCTGCTTAAAGGCCAGCGGGCTGGTGTGGGGCCTAGCAGAGGCCTATCCATCCACTCTGGCTTCTAGAACCAGGACGGAGCGCACACTGGCGACCAGGGAGGGAGCAAAGAGAGTCTGCAGCTCCGCGGGTTATAAGCGAAATGATGCGAACATGGTGTGAATGCGGTGTGAGGGTGAAGGAGGAAGCAGAGAGATGAAAAAGAGTAAAGGGCTATTTCCTGAAGCAGGGCCTGACAGGACATGTGGGGGTCTGAGGCCACCTGAGCTCAGTCTTCCCTGAGAGGAGCTGAGTGGTCAGGGGTGGGAGTTGGAGTGAGGTGGGGGCCACCAGGGAAAAAAGACCAAGTAGCCTGAGTAGAAGGAGACCGTGGCAGATACCAGGGCTGCTCAAAGTTGTGCTGCTTATGAAAAAGGAGGCCAGAGGCTGGTCAGAGGGAGGAGAAAGGAGAGGAAGAGAGGCCGGAGCGCAGAGATGGGAGGGAGAGAGGCTTTGGGGGCGGTAGCACCATGCGGAGGCTGCTGGTGGCAGGGGACACATGGGCAGGAGGGTCTGCTAGAGCAGGTCACAATGAGACCCAGCCAGCCGAGCGGCGGGGGCCCGTCCCCACACGCAAGACATGGCCGCAGCAGGCAGGGCTTCTGAGCCTGAGACGCTTGGCAGGTGGTGGCCATTTTCAGTCTTGGGTGCCTTCGGGTGGAGACTGGTGAGCTCTGAGGCCTGAGGCGCCAAGGAATGTGGGCCATGCCCACTTGATTATAGCCAGATGAACCTCTGGGCTAGGGCCAGGGTAGAAGGTGGGCCTATGGGTGTGGATAGACAGAAGGGGGGTTCTGGGACACCGTGGGACAGAACAAGGAGCAGAGGAGGAAATGAGGCCAGAGTAGCCAATGACATAGGTAGCAGACCAGGCAGGGGCAATGTCTGGGTGGCCAGAAGTTTCTGGAAAGAAGGCTGGTCAGCTGTGTTGAGTGCCTCCGAAGCATCAAATAAGAGGAAGACACAGAAGTGGTCTGTGGACTTAGCAGCAGGGTGGTCCTGCTGAGGCCAGGAGGGATGAGGGGACAGAGAGGTGTCTCCAGAGAGAAGAAAGTCCTGTAGCTTATCTGGTAGGACACAGTGGAGAGCTGCTCTCCAGCACCCTCCCTGTCAAGTCATGCTGAGGTTGGAGCAGTAGAGAAAGCAGATTTGGCAGAGAGCTCAGGGGCGCCTGAGCCCGCACCCTGGGGTGGAAGCGCAGAGGGGCACTCGAGCTGCAGAGAGAGACTCTGGTCTGCATGTGCCTCACTTGAGGAGACTGAGGCCCGAACCCAAAGTCTCTCACCACAGCCAGGCAGAGCCACTCCCATGGCCCACCCCAGTGACAGGGTGGAAAGTTCCAGCACCAGCCAGCCAGACATTAACTGTCCCTCTCGCTCCCCCTTCCTCCCTCACCCCTCCCTCCCCTCCCAAACCTGCACCCCACTTCCGCTCCAGATCCGGGTGGTGAAAGCATTCCGTAGCTCCCTCTACGAAGGCCTGGAGAAGCCGGAGTCCAAGACCTCTGTGCATCACTTCATGGCGACGCCCGAGTTTCTGATCAACGACTACACCCACAACATCCCGCTCATCGACGACACCGACGTGGACGACAACGACGAGCGTCTGCGGGCCCCCCCGCCCCCGTCCCCCAACCAGAACAACAACGCCATAGACAGCGGCATCTACCTGACCACGCACGGCGCCAAGTCAGCTACCTCGTCAGTGTTTTCTTCCAGACCCGGGAGCCCGCTCCACAGTGTGGAGACGTCCCTCTAGGCCGCCCTGCCCCTGACGCACGCGCCCCTGCCCCCGGGCGGCGGCTCAGACTTTCCTCAGGAGGCACCGACGAGAAGCCAAGGCCCTGCGGCATCGGAAGCTTCTTGCCAGGCCGAGGAGGACGACGAGGACCTCGAGAGCGAGAAGCGCTGTTTCCCCCTTTTTCTATGAGAGCTTTTTGTAAACAAACTACGATTCCCCGCAGGCCGCTGCGTGGGCCGCGTGCTGGGCCGTGGCCGGTTTGGGCCTAGGGAGAGCTTCGTGGGCCTCGCTGCCAAGTAGTCAGCGCGACCGAGTCCCGCAGGTGCACAGAGGGTGACCCCCCAGACGGCCCCCGGGAGCCGCCTGCACAGGCCTGCACGCGTGTGTGTGCATCAATGTGTCCGTGCACACACGCACGCACGCACGCACACACGCGCACACACATAGCACCAGATGAGTATTTCAAGAATAAGGAACAATTTACAGCCACTTCCATTGCTCCATTCAGGGCTTTTCATTCTGAAACTTCATTATTAATTGTGGCGGGTTTTGCTTTTGTTTCTTCCAAGGAAGTAGCCTGCAAGAGTATCTTTTTGGTTACTTATGTTAGTCCCTACCCCTGCTTGCAGAAGCCCCCCAACAGCCTCCCCACCCCCATGCTTCCCAGTACAGTTCCTGGGAATGTTGCCTTTAGGTCCTGAGCAGGCCTGGGGTGGGGGGTTATAACCCCAAGCAGTTACAATCAGAACATTTGCACTTTGAGACCCCTAACTATGGGGGAGGGGCTTTCTGTGGGATTTTCCATTTAAAAAGAAAATACCAAAGTATTGATAAGAATGACCCTTCCAGCAGCTGGACGGGGGAGTTTGCAGTTTCCTTTCATTTCAATGGCAAGTTCTGGATTCTATCTGGGGGACTTCCTTTGCCTACGCCCCCAACTTTGAAAGCATGAAACACAGCCCCCTGACAAACCTGAGCCCTGGAAGGGTCTGGATTCCAGGAGCTGCCCGGGCGAGTCCAGGCAGCCTGGAGTCAAAGAGGAAGCAGGAGGAGCTGACGCTGCACAGTGCAGACCCCAGCCCTGGGCGCCTCCCACTGCACCCCCTTGCTTTGGCAGATGGCAAGCAGTTGTGGCTGAGGCACCCCCAAGCGCCCTTCCAGCTTGGTGCACTGGTTCAAGGACAAACGCTGACCCCGGAAGTACCTACGACAGCATCAGGACAGCCGCTCCCCTGGCAGCGATGGCACTTGTCACTCTGGCTTTGTTGCAGGCCCAGGAGGCTGAGGATGTCACCTTCACCACGTCCTGGCTGAGCACTGGGTCCACAGGGGGCTGCCAGCGCTCCCTCCAGAGCCTATCCTTGAGGGCCCCTCCTTCAGCCGCCCCTTGAAGTGTGCACACCTCACATGCCAAGCTTTGGTTTCCCCTGGAAGAGCCCTGACCAGGGAGGGCAGTGCAGGAAATAGAGGACCCCAACTTCTGCCACCCCCCAAGGACAGGAAGAGGGGCCAGTCTCTTCTGAACAGTGACCCCAGCAAAGGGGTGGCTCTTGGCCCATGACATTCTTCCACCTTTTGAATTCACCAGTGTCGTGTGCTGCAGGGAGGCGGCTGGGGTTCCACCCTGGCTCATGCAGGCGCCCATCGCTGGGGCCTGAGCCGCAGGGAGACGGCCGGGAGCCAGGGGCAGAGGCCAGGATGGGAGGCGCAGGGCGCCGGTGTCTCTCCTCACCTGGGCCCGACAGTGGGGCCCCCGCGCAGAGCCCTCGGCAGTGCACCTGAGCCCGCCACGACCGCAAGTGCCGCGCCACCCCCAGCAGGAGCAGCGTAGCCAGCAGAAAGGAATTTCAGTTTGCAGAGAACCCCGCTCCAAAATGCCAGCTACAGATAACTTAAAGCCATCCCTTTTTTCCAAAGGGCACATTGAGAATGTTACCCATTTGTAAATTGGTCCCTAATGTCCTTGTTCAACCACAACAAAAAGGTCTGTGGAGGGTCTTTGTGTTCCTAAACAAGAAATAAAATTCAAAATGTTGAACTGCAGACGAGCCCCGAGCCCCGGGGACTTCCCTCCGCCCCGCCGCGGACACAGCAACACAACAGGCGGCCCGCGCTGCTGGACCACGACGTCGCCCGCCGTCAGCGCCAGTGGCTTAGTCCCCAGGTTGCATCTGCACAGGGCTGTGGGGCGCAGGATAGGGGCGCCGTGACGCTGTGGCCTGCCATCCTCAGGGCAAGGGCGCGGCCGTCAGGAGCTCTCTCTAGCATGATCTTCTACGGAATGGCTTGGCCGACCGTGTTCAGTAATTCACTCTGCTTTCCATTTTGATCTGCCTGTTATAAAGATGAAAAAAATATCTTAATGAGGAAGACCACAGATGCATAATGACTTAAAGTCTGTAGTTGAGTTTGCTAACTTAAAGACTAGACCAAAATTTCTGTGTATAAAAAAAAAAATGAAGGCTCCTCCAATCCCGCCGCGGGCAGTGTGTGTGCTTGATTATTTGGTGCGTTCTGACCGGAACAAAAGAGTGGTGCTTTGTCCACCTCCTGGCAGCCAGGATGAGCCCCGGGGGCAGTCTTGAGGGAAGCTCTGGCCCTACGGGGTCAGAGACGCCCCCGCGGGACTTGGCAAGAATGTCTGGGCTGCAGTCCCCAAGGGGGCCCGGTGTGACGCCAGCAGCCTGGGACATACACGCCCTCTCTTGATTGTAGTAAAATAAACACAATATAAAAGTCACCATCACGGCCGTTTGTAAGCCACGGCTCAGTTCCATTGAACACATCGACACCGCACAACCACCCCACTGAGCATCTCCAGAACTTTCTCATCCCCCCCCCAGGGGAAATGCATCTCCATTAAACACCAGCCTCAGCCCCTGGCACCCACCTTGTACCCGTGTCTGCATGAACCTGACTGTTCTGGGGACCTCACACCAGCGGGACCACGCAGCGCGCATCCTGTGGTGTCCTGCTGGGGTCAATCAGTGAGATGCCCCAAGGGCCCGGGGTGGGGGGGGGGGCGTGTGGGAACGCCCTTCCTGTGGGAGGCTCACTGGCGCCTGCTGCAGGGATGGCCGCAATCCCTTTACCCGCCCTCATCCGCAGACGCTAGGGACTTCGCCTCTTGCTGCCGTGCTCTGAGCGACGGGGTGCACGTGTCTCTGCCGGCCCTGCTCCCCACCCTTTGGAGCACATCCGTGGCAGTGGGCTGGCTGGGGGAATGGTACTCCTGTCGCAATTTTTGAGGAAACTTCACGGTACAGCGCGAAGCCCCACATCACAGACAGCCCCACACGGGCTCCACACACAGGCCTCCTCTGGAACCTGAGGCTGTGGGAGGAAAAGCCTTTATTGTGCTCATTCGCTCACCCTGTGGGTGACTGCGAGACGTCCCCTGACTCACCAGGTGCGTGTGGACACCCACCCTGGGACAGCCCGCCCACCGGCGTCGGCCTGCGCACCCAGGAGGCCGCTCACACCCGAGGCTCGCGAGTGGCTCCATTAGGTGCCGAATCCCCACGTCCTTTCCTCGTATTCCCGTTTCCCGCACCACCCACCACCCCTCTGACTTGGCGGTGCCAGAGGGTGCATGTTCCAAGGAAGCGGCCAAGAAAGGAGAAAAGCGCCTTCCCCGGTCCCTGCCAAGCAGCAGGGCCCGTACTTCTACAACAGGCAGACAAATCCCGGGAAACAGCAGACAGGCCAGTCCTCATTCCACGGGCGGGCGCACGCATCCGCACGTCAGGCCAGCCTGGTGTGCCCTCTGTGGAGAGGGAGCACGCTCCCCCGGCAGCTCCCCGTGTGTGTTCTGGGCGCTTTTCCACAAGTGTCTGCTGTCAGATACGACAGGTCCCCAATGGAGAACATGAGCCCTTACGAGCCGAACCAAGTGGCTTGAGGCCAAGAAGCGCTTCCATACCCATCCCTCCGAGGAGCCGGCCATCTTCCCCACCCAGTGGCGCCCTGGGCTTAAGGTGCAGGCCGGGTGTCTGGAGAAGGCCCCTGTGTGAATTTCAGGGGCTCCTGGCACATAGTGCCACAAACCGGGGCGTTTAAAACAACAGACGTTTCTTCTCTCTCAGTTCTGGAGGCCAAAAGGGGTCTGAAGCGCAGGAGTCACAGGGCCCTGCTCCCTCGACGGTTCCAGGGGAAGCTTCTTCCTTGCCCCTTCCAGCTTCTGGACGCCCTGGGGTCCCCTGACACAACTTGGCCCGTAGACCCACCGCTCCATTCTGCCTCCACCGCCCTGCAGACTTCTCTCTGCGTCTGTGTTCACATGGCCTTCTCCCACTGTGGCAAGGACAACGCTTCGAGGAGAGAGTGGGGATCCCCTCACAGAGCAGCTAGCGACTCCACGGTGTGTCTTTGAAGGGAGGGCAGGCCCAGGGGAAAGTTCCAGAGGCCAAGATTATGCTAGTGAAAGCTTTGCCACTGCTTCCTGCCTCACTCTCTGGCAAGTGCCTCTCGGGGCTCCCCTGGCAGGAGATGGGCAGCAAAGGAGGCCACCTTTGTATAGGGAAGACTCCAGAATGCTCAGCTGGACTGCCCATGTGAACAACCGCATTGCCCCCCAGGCTACTCTGAAATATGGTTTGGTGATGTTTGGAGTCAAGCAAATGTCAAGGATTGGCAAGGGTCTTAGAGCCAGGCAGCCAGCACCCAGTCTGATGGAAGAGGGCAGCCTGTGCCCAGTGATCCGTCCTTTCTGAAGACCACCAGTGCCAGGCAGGCACTCAGCCTGCGTGCGGAGCCAGGAGGCGCCTTCTCTCAGAGCAGGCGCTCACTGCACACACGCTGTGCCTCTTCCTCGGTGGCTGTCTGCCTCCCCAGAGGGCAAGGCATCAAGTCCACTTGCCTTACTGCTGTGGCCAGCTGAGGATGGCACTCGGCAACACAGAGCTCAATGCATGCTGTCTCGTGGACGGCCTCAAGGAGCACAGGTGCAGCAGGCGCCCGAGCCACCCGCATGCGGGGAGCGCGTCCTCCACACGCAGACAAGCTCGAGGAAACAGGCCGCCAGGGAGCCCGAGCACACGCAGCGGTCTCATCCTGGCAACAATGACTGTCACTCTGGAAACACAAGCAAGCCCCACTGCCTCCTTTGTCATCAGGGTGTGACCCCTTCCTGGGCACCACCAGGGACGAGCACTCTGATAGACAACGGGCTTCTGGCCCCCCTCACTTGTAGGTGCCAGAGGGCCTGGCAGTCAGTTTCCAGAGCCCCTGGACCCTGGTCTCGTCTTCCCAAATGCCAGGGAGCACCCAGGACAGCCCCTGGCCCATTCCACCTTCTGCCAAAGGATGGAGCCATTGGGCCACGCATGGACCCCCAGTGAAGCACCCTGACAGCTCTACTTCCCACCCACAAGCCAGCCTTGTGAAGAAGAGTGTGGTAGTGGGAGTCGGGGATGCTGGGCCCCAAGAGTCTCTGCACGCCCCTTCCAGACTCGCTGGCTCCACATCCAGGAGACCTCCTTCCAACTTCTTACAGCTTTCTGGTTACATCATGGCCAGGTCGGAGTTTCTGGAACCCAAATGACACTCCCTAGCCCACCTTGGCGGAGCTTGCGCTCGCTCACCGAGCGGGGCCAATTCCCCACACCCGGCAATGGGCCGGCGGAGGGGGCGAGCCCACGCGGGCTTCCTTGGGGGCCGCACCCAGGACACAGGCACGGGCTGTGCTGCTGCCCACTCGGAAACTGATGGTCACACCGCAAACATCTCAGGGAACAAGGGGTCTCTTAGGGGAAGGCCCTCGTGAGCACCCCAAGGTGCAGCGCGAGCTTCAGAGCAAAGACAGGGTCTCCACTGATGTATCGAATCACCTTTTATTACCCAAAATACGCTGAATCTGTGGTGCACATTTCACACTTTCTATAAAGCTTTCAGTCCCCAGGTGCAGTCCCCTCTGGCCTTTCATTTTCCTTCCAATGACGTCCCGGCTCAACTGTAGGCGGAGGCCTCAAAGGGCAGAAGCAGACTCGGGCATCACGGGGCCGCCCCCCTGGGGCCCCCGGCGGCACCTGGCTGCGGACGGTCAGAGCCGGCGATGCAGCGCGTGATCACTCCCGGAGCCAGAGCCTGTCCTCCCAGCCGCCCCGGGGGACCAGGCTTCCAGCTTCTCTTTGGGCAGGCCAGGGCCAGGCCTCAGGGGAGCTCTGTGTCCATGGTATAAATCCGAACAAGATCAGACACAATGTCATCAACGACTGGCTTCGTAAGGTCCTCGCTGAACACCTGTAGAGGAGATGGAAAACAGGCTCCAGTTACACTCCCTCCAGCTCCACAGGCCCCGCAGTCAGGCCAGAATCACCCGGCTGGGGGCGCGGCCGTCAGAGAGCATGGCGACTGTGTGCCGGGCTGCCCAGGCTGCCATATACCGGGCACAGCGGAGAATGCTCCAGACGGAAGAGGTCTCAGTGATCAGCTGACCCAGATAGGAATGGGCTGGGGGTGGGGGTTGGGGGGGTGTGGGGACAGTGGGGTGTGGAGCACCATCGCTCCTCCTGCCCCAGGTGGTCTCTGCTCCAGACTCTCTGGAGACAGCAGGACAGCAGAGGGTGAGAGTGCCATTTCCTGACACGGGCCGGCTAGGTCACCTGCACCCCACACCCACCCGAGCCAGCTCTGGGGTGCACCTGGACCTGCTCCACAGATACCCCCGGCTGCTGGAAAGCTTATGTCCTCTCCTGGCCAGTCCATGGGAGTCCACACCGAGGCCGCTCAGCAGGCCCCGGCATCTGCACTGCATGTTCCAAAGTGAAGTCTGGCCCTGGCCGGCTCCAGAGAGACCTCGAGGGCCCTGGAACGTCCCGCCCATGAGGGGGTCTTGGCTGGTCTGGGGCCTCAGGCCCTGCCAGGCAGTCTGTGCTGACACAGTGGTTTCTGGGGTTCTTGGGCCGCAGTGGCCTTCCAGAAGGCGTGGCCTGAGCCACTGAGACCAGCCCCAGGGGCTCGGCAGGCTACAGGACCCACTCCCGTCACCCGCCTGGCCGCTGCTGCTTGGCAGCATCCCTGTGCCTTCCCTGTGCATGACCTGCTGCCCACATGTCAGTGCCAGGGTGCCTGGAGGCTGGCTCCTGGTATCTCCTGGCCCCTGCCCACGGATGCTCCTCTGCCTGAACTGCCTTTGACCTGTGTCCTCCAATTCTGACTCACTGTGTCGACCACTCCTAGGGGGGCATCAAGCCTGGGGGTGCTCTTGGGGACCCCTAAGTACAAGGAAACTATAAAAGCAAACCAGGAGCCCTTGCATGAATGCAGGGCCCCCCCCCCACCTCCAGGCCAGGGGTTGCTACCTGGGGAACCAAGGTGTTACAAGGGCCTTAGGCCAAACCGGGCAAAAAGTAAAATTGATTGCACCCACTGATGGACCCCAGAGAAAGCAAGAGTCCCCCACAGGTTGCCCCTCCCATGGACAGTGAGCTGGAGATTGGCAGTCAAATCTTTCAAAACTACAGAGCTGGCTCATCAGTGTGCCCAGAGATGCCAAGGTGAGAAAAAATAGCCTCTAAAAAATAGCCTCTGCGGCCTCTAAAAAATAGCCCAGGGGCAAAAGCTGGAAGCGACCCAACTGTGCACCCATGAAGGAATGAAGAGACCCAAGATTCTCTAGCACCACACTGGGGCTTTCTCAGGCTTGGAGAGGATCAGCTTCCCACACAGTTATGCCTGGGAGCTTCGAGGGCATGGTGCCCAGTGACCCCAGCCAGTGGTGACAGGCTAATACAGCATGAGACTCAAGGGGCTGCGGGGACTGGGGAGTTGGTGTCCACGGGGACAGATGCGACGGGGAGGAGGCCCGCTCTGCACATGGCTGGGAAGGGGGGGTCATGCACAACCGGGCGCACAACTTCATGCCCCTGAGCCGCCTGCTTGCACCTGGGACACAGGCCAGTGTGATGCGACGTGTGCTTCACCACAGCTGTGAAAAGCCCAAAGTGGCTCTGCCAGCCCAGAGGGTACCCAAAATCCAGAAGCTCCCGGAGCCATCCAGAAAGGTAAAGCACTGGGTGGATGTGAGCAGGGCACCCCAAAGCGGCAATACCTGCCGGGCTAAAGGACTACCAGGTATGTCGGCAGGGCCTAGAAAGCAGGCCTGTGGAGGAGCTGCCTCTGGGTACCTCCCCTCTCCCACGACAACTGCGAGGGGGAAGCAGAGGCGGTGCCAGGGTACCCGGTGACGCGCAGGAGCAAGCAGAGAGGACAAGCGCACGAGACAGACAGGCCAAGGAGAGGGGACAGCGCAACAGGAAGCAGACAACAGCCAGTGGCCGCAGCGCTGGGGCCAGGGCCCTCGGAGGCGCTCAGAGAGCAAGACCAGGAGAGGCAGGCCCTTCTGCTACCGCCCGGTCTCAACTCAGCGAGGGCACCAGAGCTTGGAGCAGCATCTCCTGTCCCGACGGATGCCTCTCCCCACGGGGCTGCCATGGGGGCACAGCGGGCCCGAGACTGACGCTCCGGCTGCATTTTGTTCAAGGGCATGAGGGCTGGTGAGGTGGCAGCCAGACAGCAGACCAGATCCGGGGCTCAGGCGGTACAGGCTGGGGAGCCTCTGTGAGGGAGGGGTAGACAGGCAATAAAGAACAAAGAGAAGAGCAGAAGGAACTGTACTCTTCCAGGGGGGCCGGGGTGCAAGCAGGCGGGGGGCACATCAGCCAAGGGGAGGGCGCACTTGGCCAAGAGCTGTAGGAGGGAAGGGGAGTGAGGAACAGGCCAGGGAGGGGCCCTCAGGGAGCACCCCCTGTCCAGTAAACACATAAACATTTTCGAAGATTTCTGGCCATGTGGGTTGGAGCGGGCAGGTGATGCTGAAGGAGAAACCTTCACTTATCTCAAACGTGCACAGAAACCTTATTCTAGAACAAGCGCTATGAAAAAGGGGACAGTGAATTTCAAATGCGGTCCAATAAGAAACGACCGCCATGTTCCGCTCTGAGAAAGAAGGGGCGCGCAGGGAGCGCAGGCCGGGCTGCGGGCCTCCACTCGCTCTCCACGCCCTGCGCTTGGCCTCCTGTCCCACGGGGCGCGGCGACCCGCCTGGCTTCAGTCTCATCTCTCCTGTGCCATCTCTCGGCCCACCTACCCACCATCGACCTGCCGTCTGCCCGCCCGCCTTCTCTCCACCCACGTGCCCATGTAGCTACGGCCCAGCCTCCGCCGTCCGGCCCCAGCCTGCTCCCCTGCTCCCCTGGTATGAGCCCAGGCCACAACCCGCGCCCCGTGAGCAGCTCCACCCACCGCGATGACCGCTGGGCTGAGCTCAGTTCTCAAGTGGGAGTGACCCCCGGGAACAGGTGCACTAGTGCCGGCATTTTTGGTGGTTGTGACTGTGGGAGGGGGTGCTCCTGGCATCACCGTGGCGGGGGGGAGAGTCCAGACACACCGCTCCCCGCCACCCAGCACAGCCCACCGCACAGTGACCCCGGCCCGGGCACACAGGCCAGGGTGTGTGTGCGCGTCGTGAAGGAAAGAGGGCATCTCACCTGCCACCACGGCTTCTCGGCCTCGGCCTCGGCCGGCACCTCGACGCCGTAGACCTGGAGGGCCAGGTGGAGCACGGCTGCAGCTATGTGCTGAGCCCGGAAGCGCAGGCACAGCCCGCCGTGGTAACTGTCGCGCAGCAGGGCCCAGGCGGTGACGGAGATGGGGGTCCGCTGCCAGCTGTGCCGATTCAGCCAGTTCTTGAGGGAAATCAGGTAGTGGAGCAGGTGCTGCAAAGACACGCCAGTCAGCCTGTTGGCCCTCGGGCCCGCCGCCTGCCTCCTCGCCGAGAGGCACTGGGACTCAGCCAAGCCGTCGTGGCGTCACTACAACACAGATTGGGTGGAGTTGCCTCCCCGTTCAGACCCTCTCGTGGTCGTCACGCTACTGGGAAAAGTCCCAGGAGGCCCCGCTGGCCTCCAAGCCCTGCCTTCCTCTGGGGCTTCACCACCCTCGCCCTTCCCTCCCACCAGGGTTAACATGCCCCTCAGGCCCGAGCACCACTCCACCCAGCCCCCTGGGCCTGCCCGCTCTTCTTCCAGCCTTGGCTCCCGAAACAGGTCCCTCTTGATGGCCACAAACCCTGCCACACCTGCCAGCCACTGCAGATCATTCTGCTCCTTCTCCCTTGGCCCCACTCAGGCATCGGGCCCAGAAAGGATGTGCCTGCTGGACACAAGAGCTGCCTAGGGCCAGGACCCAGCCGGGGGCAGGAAGCCTGCTCTCAGGAGGACCAGAGACCAGCGGCTGAGCACCAAGAAATTCAGCAGTCTGTCGGCTCGGCTTGGAAGCCAGCTGCGCGGCCTGAGCCTCACGCACCCACGGAGCAGGGGCCCGCTCAGTGCACGTGTACAGATGCCAGCATGCCCGGGCTGGGCCGGGAGTCACCCACCATGAGAGACCCTTCCGAAGCCAGCAGCGGGACGGCACAGGGCTCCCTGAGCCCCGTGGCGGGGTCTGATCTGCCCTAAGACGCACGGCCTGAGCGGCGTCTGAGCTCCAGCAGCCGCCAGGGTGACCCGCCCCTGCCCCAGCCCAGCCTGCATGGAGCATCGCAGACTGCAGACACCACTGCTCAAAGAAGCCTCTGCAGGGGTTCCAGGGGCTAGGGAGGTGGGAAGTGTGGAAGAGTGAGTGGATGCCAGCAACAAAACTTGTTTGACTGCAACGTCAGTGGCGTGTGCACAACTGTGCCGTAGTGCAGAGCACACGGAACACCCGGGGCCAGCGAGCCGCCCGCTGCATGTGCTGGAGTCTCGCAGGGTGTTCCCACTTGGGGGACTGGGCAGGCTCGCAGGAGCTCTGGTTTCTTGCCACTGCTTGCCGACTGACAACTGCTTCCATAAATGATTCAATGGAAAAGAAAGAATATTCTGGTAGAGGATTCCACATTATGGCCCCTTCTCTCTGCAGGCCATCCTCCAAGCAGCTTGTGCAGGGCCAGGAGCCCCCAAAGTATCCCATGCAAGGGTGCTGAGGACACCACCACACCCGCCTCTCTGGTGCTGTCTGAAACGGCTGCCCTGCTGGCATGCACACGCGGCTTTCTCAGCACAGTGGCCCCTCGGGGACAGGAACCAGCAGGTCACCACACTGGCCATGTCCCTGTGGCCTGCTGAGCACACAACCTGCATGGGTTGGTAGATTTGCCAGGGCTCCGGGGGTCACGAGGATCCCAGCTCGAGGCCACAGCCAAGCCATGGAAGGGCAAACACAGACGTGAAAACGGCCCCCCAGAAGCCCGGGTGGTGGACAGGAGAGACCATGCTTCCTCGCGTACCCCAAGTGCTGGCAAGGATTCCAACAGGGAGCAAAGACGGGCAGGGCCGCGGGTGGCCCGCACATACCTTGTGCGGGTGCTGGAAGGAGACTTGGAAGCGAAGCACCCTCAGCACGAGCAGCTCACACTGCACGATGCTGTCCCGCAGCTCCCAGAAGCGCGAGTCCAGCTCCAGGGGCTCGCTGCCCGGGCGGAAGTACCTGCGAGCAGACAGCACCACTGAGCGGGGGCCGGCATGCAGGGTGCAGTCCCTCAGGGGCCTGGGGCCCGAATACAAGCTCTCAAGCCTGCCTGCTGAAGACCGACACAGGGCCTTATGTGTCGGTCTGTAGAATGGACTCGATCCACATGTCTAGGGCCTGGGACAAAGCAGGAGACGACAGAAGACACGGCTGCAACTTTCATCCCTGATGGGCTATCCCCATGTCACTCAGCAAGATGACAAATACAAAGCTGGGCTTGTGGTGGCCCCAGAGGAACTGGAGGCCCTACCATGCCAGCGGGGGCCGGCCTCCTGACACAAGCAGCCTGGCATTGAGGGCCGCCTCCCTCCCCTGGGATGGCCACGCCAGGACTCCCATTCTGGGCCAGAGGCAAGTATTTAGAGGCTGTATCAAGAAGAATCAATGGACTTCCGTTTTCTGCTTTCCAGACTGTCTTTCCTTCATTCCAGATCTTTCTGTGCTTATTTACACCATATATGTCTACAACACTCCCACCTATGCAAGATTACGAAGACGCACGTAAGCAGGATTCACACACAAGTGGTCGGAATTCTCTGCAGCTGACTCACCCTTGCCAGCTCTTGACTTATTTTCCAACCCCCCTCAAAACCCCACCCACAGCCACTTCTAATTAGCAATTTCCTTTCTGCTGTCCGCCCTGCTGGGCTTCCCACCCGCCCCCCCCACCGCCGCTCCTGTTTCTAGCTGGGTCTGTAGCAGGACACTATGAACCTGGCGTGCTGCGGGGGCAGACAGTGCTTTTTCTGTTACCTGTTTATTAAAAGAGAAAAAGCACAAAATACTTTGCTTTCCTAACAATTAGAGTTGCTAGAAGGCGTGATGCATCACTCATTAGTAACTTTCCACCAGTTACTTTCTCCAGGGGCCCCAGGGCCTTGGCACAGCCTGCCTGGCCAGCGGGACTGCCGTCTCCTTCCCCAACAGGAACACAGCTACTTGAGCCCAGGGGCCCACCCATGGACCACCCATGCCCACTCCAGGGCGAGAGACATGCCTGAGCAGCTCTGATGTGGTTCCTCGTACATAGCTGGCCACATGCCCACGCCAGGGCGGCAGGCCGGCCCATGGGGTTCACAGACCCCGAAGGGGGGAGGTCCTCTCTGGGGCTCTCTGCCACCTGTCATCCCTGGTGGACACATCCTGCCTAAGATTCCAGGTGATTCTGCTTTGACACATCTTTCTCCAAGGTCCCCTGGGTCCTACTGACACCAAGGACTCCCTCTGATGCACGCCTCCCTGCATCCACCTGGCCTTGGAGGCTCCCATGCATGCGGCCCAAGTTTTGCTCCCGTGTAGCCCCGGGCTTGCGACACCACAATCACCCTGCCTTTGCTGCCTGTGCCTCTGGCTCCAGTCCAAGGGCACCAGGGTCTTCCTTTCCAGCTCAGCTGCTGGGGGACAGGCCCAGTGGGGTCCTTCTTTGTCCTCCCATTCAGGTGGATGCCAGGAAGCCCCCAACATGCCAAGACCCGGAAGCTGTTACCTGTTGGACACATTGATGATGTCACGCGTGCGCAGGTGCTGCTCTTCCACTTTGCCGGCCAAGTACAGGGAAGACATGGCCACCAAGTAGGGGTCATAGGCATCCAGGTTGGTCTCACAGAAGAACTTATGGTAAATGGTGCAGGCAGTGGCGATGGGGATGGACCGCATCCCTAGCTTCACACCTGCGGAGAGAGAGCAGGCGGAGGGCCCATCAACGCCGTGCCCCCTGCTGCTGGGCTGCGCCTGCTCTGGCAAGATCGAGAGCTCTGGGCCCCTCTGGCAGTAGCCGCCAGTGTGGAGCCAGGCTGCTGGGACTCCTTGGGTCAATAAGCCCTGAGGGCCCAGTGGGGATGCTGGAAAACCGAGTCCACCCACTGGCTCTGCAGATTCTGCTCGTCTATGCGGCCTGCGGGCCACGCCCAAGTGACGGCTCTGCAGACTGCACTGGAAGCAGGGTCCAGATGCCTGTGCAGTTAGCGTAGTCAGTGATGGCGTGCTGTGTGTCCACGGCTGCTTCAGCGAGCACGTAAGTCAAGGTGGCCCTGGAATGCAGCTCACCTGCCAAAGTGTTGGCAAGACAACGGGAGGGACAAAAGGCGCACGAGCAAGCTGGCAGATGGCACCACCAGTCCCGGACACTATAGCTCAAGACTACGCTAAGCACGCGCTGCACGGGCTGGTTAGAAAAGACGAGGCAGTGGACAGGCAGGGTGACTGACTGACGGGGCTGCTGCAGCAGAGCAAGGGACGCCACAGCGACACCACAGAGGCAGCAGAGAACTGTGCACAGAGGTCGGAATGTGAAAACCCGGGCACAGACTGACTTAGAGGTCAAAGACCATGCCCAGCCTCCCCCACCATGTGCAGCTCCTAGGGGAATCACTGCCTTGGGCCACAGAAGCAACACACTTACTTTCCCTTGCAATCCTGAGAGCCAAAAGTCAGAAATGAGACTTCGGTACTAAGGTCTGGGTTTCTTGGGAGACTCCGGGGAGATTTTGCTCCCTGGCCCTTTCCAGCTTTGAAGGGCACCTGCAGCCCCTTCCCAGCTTCTCTGCAGCACAGCGTGTTCTAACTGCTCCCTCTGCTTTCAACATCATGTGGCCTTCTCTGCTGCCTGTCCTCCTGCCTCTTGCTTTAAGGATGGGGTAAGTAGTGAGATCCACTGCATAATGTGGGGTAGGTCCCCCAGGTCAACATGCTGAATTCCATCTGCAAAACTTGTTTTATAACAGGAGGCCACAGTCCCAGGCTCTGGGAACAAGAATGGGGACACCTTTGGCAGACCCAGCACTCAGGCTCACGCAGAGCGGAAGCGCATGTTTTGTAAAGGAGCCCGTCAAAGCGACACCCAGAGAGCTTTCAGCTGTGCAAGTTTTAAACTTCAGTTCCTGAGCCCTGCATGGGACCCTCAGCCCGGAGAAGTCAGGCAGGTAGCATTGCTCACACACTGCTGCCGGCCTTGTTTCATACAGCAGAGCCTCCAAGGCAGCTGGCTGCCCTGCACTCAGTGGAGCCCTCGCCCGGCGGATGGGCGGTAGGAGGTGCAGGGGGCACTGCAACTCCTCTAGGAAACGAAGTGTACAAATCAGCGGGATCAACAATCCCACACTATGTCCCCGGCCTGCGGCCTGGCCTTGACTGCCTTCTCCCGAGCACAGGGAGGAGCAAGGCTGGGAAGTAAGGGCTGCCAGCTGAGCTGGAGACTACGCACGCACGGTGCACAGTGTTTGTGCAGATCCTGTGGGGGCCTGGCAGGGATCAAAACGCGCCCTGCACCCAGGTCCCGGGTGTGAGGGGACCCGGCCCAGCAGGGGGCTGCCAAACGCGCTGGGTGGCCGGTGTCGAGGGCGCCGGAAGGCAGGTGTGGCGGCAGGCGCCGTACACGCCACCGCGCTCCGGGCCTGTGCCCTGCACGTCCTCCCCTCGGGTCCGCGCCCGACCGAGAAATGCCAAGGCCGCGTCCGCCTCCAGCCCGATGCCCAGCAAGGCGGGCAGAGACCGCTACCCCGAGCCGGGCCTCCCGGTCCCGCCTGCGGCAGATTCAGCGCGGCCCCTTCCCTCAGCCTCGCCGCGCCCGGCCGCCGCCACCCGGAAGCCGCTCTCCTCGACGCGGGCCACTGGGCTCCCTCCGCGCCCCGCCGCCGTTACCTGCCTCCATGATGAACCGCGTCACTCGGAAGTGCACCCTCGCCTCCGGGACCGGCCGCCCCTCTGCGCCTCGCGCCGCGTCCCCTCCTCCGCAGCCCTCCAGGCCAACGGCCTCCATGAGGTCCCGCCCTGCAGCCCCGGGACCCGCCACAGGAAGGCGATGCTCCCCCGGCGCGCAGATGCCGCCTCCCGGGGTCTCGCGGAGGGAGCGGCCGCCCCGCCCCCGCCGCCCCCGCCGCCCCCGCCGCCCCCTCCGCCCCCCACAGCGCGCGGTGCCGCGGCGCCAGCCAGCCGGGCCCGAGCGCGCAGGCGCAGGCGCAGGCGCAGAGCCGACGGTACCTGCCGGTCAAGGGCCGCCAGCCCCATACCCGAAAGCCAGCCCCGCGCCCCTGCATCCCACCCTGCGGGCGGCACTTCGCAGCTAGGTCTCCCGACGCGGCCCGCCTCGCCCCTGGAAACCTCCTGCCCCGCCCCCGACGCGGCCCGCCCCACCCCCCGTGAACAGACCCGGGGCGCCCTGTCACCCGGGTTCCCCAGGCCACTCGCCCGACCTTAGGGAGCAGCACATCCTAACCCCTGCCGGGGGCTACTCCATCGGGCTGCCACGAGGTCAAGGGCTTAGTGCCCGGGCATTCCCTAGCACCTGAGCTGCCGGGGCCTGCCGCCGCACTCACTCACAGCTCCCGTTCGGTGACCCGTGTGGTTGAGGGAGTTTAGGACCTGGAGAGCTGGCAGCGTGCGTGGCGCCCGGGCTCAGGGTGCTTATGGGACTTCTACTCAGGCGTCTGCGCATCCCACAGTCAGTATTGGTACAACCCAAATCCAAGTTGGCCAGAGCGCCCAGCCCAGGGACGAGCCCCACGAAGTGCTGCACACGCTCTCCAGTCTCCAGCCGCCCTGGATCCCTGGAGATGTGATTTCTGCTTGCCTTTGCAGTCCAGCACACAGTAGGCACTTAATAAATGTTTGCTGTATGACTGTTGTGTATCCAACTGGCAACGTCATTCCAGTTTCACCTGTGTCTCCCACGAGCAGGCAATTGTGCGTGGGGCTCTCCATCTAGTGACAAATGGTCACTCCAGTCATGCTGATCCTGCCACACAGTCGCGATGGTTGGAGAGCTCTGGGAACCGTGAGAGGAAAAGGCCACCACTTGCCTGTACATGGTTCTGCTGGGGAGACCCTGCACTAGCCTCCACCCCAATGTCTGCAACTCCCACCCCCCCCCCAGACTGGCCCTGATCTCTTTCTTCTACACCCCCACCCCTAGTCCTCTGTCCACACCAGCTGGGTTAGTTCAGAGGGCTGCTAATAACCACAAACTGGGCCCTCAAAACAGCAGGAAATTATCCTCTCGTGATTCTAGAGGCCAGGGACCTGGAATCCAGCTGCCAGCAGGACCACACTCCCTCAGAGGTTCTCCGGAAGGATCCTGTCTGGCCTCTTCCAGCTTTTGCTGGTCCCAGATATTCCTAAGCTGATGACTGCATCCCTCCAGGCCCTGCCTCCGTCTTCACTGCCCTGGCCGTGTGTCTCTCCTCTTCCATCTCTTACAAGGACAGCTGTCGTTGAATTTAGGTCACCCTTGGGGTAATCCAGGAGGAGCTCAACTTGAGACCCTTAATGTCATCACATCTGTAAAGACCATTTTCTCAAATAAGGTCATGGTCACACGTTCTGAGGATTACAACATGGACACATTTTGGGGGACGGGGATAGGGGGACCATTGGGCACACCACACAACCTCCAGGTGGGCTTCCTAGAATGCGAGGCTGAGTGGGCCCTGCCCTGCATACCCAGCCAGCAGCTGCCAGCCTGAGCTCTCCCGCTTTGCGCTCGTGGAGGGGCCCTGTGCACCTTCCTGGAGGTCAAGGTCTCCCGGGTCAGCCTCTTTGCACTCGCTCTGCCCAGCAAAAGAATTCCTGCCCCTCAGCCTTGTCTGCCACTCCTCTGCCAAGGCATAGGCATGGCCCTGGGCTGAATGCCAATGGGTGCACACTCGTGCGCGGCAACTGCATGTGTGTGGAGGGGGCTCAGGACACCCAGACACTTGTGCTGCTGACGCATGGCATGCCTTGAGCACCCTGTCGGTGCCGGGCTGGGAGTAGCACCCAGCCTGAGGCTGAAACCTGCCTAAAAGGACGGTGTGTCTTGGGGGCTCGAGTTGCTACCTCTAGTGTCCCACATCATGCCAACCACACGCACCCGTTCCCATCATGCACCCTCTCACGTGCACAGGCGGGTACCCAGGCACACGTATACCACACCCAAATGGTCTCCTTTTCCCTCTGGCTGCTGGCCCAGTGGCCTGCCTGTCACCTCCCCACCTGCTGTGTTTACTGGTTAAACAGCACAGCTTGAGCTCCTGCTTCTCCCCCGGGCTTTTGTGGTGTGGAGAGTCTGGGCTCAGCAAGTAATAGGGGCTTGTGAATGTGAGTCGAGGGAATGACTCAATGAACACATTAATTTTTAAAACCCTGGGTCACAGGGCACCCTCCTGGCAGGCAGCCTGGGCACAGTGGTTGATGAATGAATAATTCACCAGCCTGCGTGGAGCCAGCTGACCTCTGAGCCACTCCTCCTCTTCCACCCGCAGGCCACGCCCGGGCAGGCCTCCCTTCCAGCCACCTGTCGCCACTGCGAAGCCTGGCATCCCCCTCACCTCCCGCCTCTGACCTCCTGGGGTCATCTGCCAGCACAGGTGACCAGAGGAAGACTTTCTATAAGGAGTATGTGCCCGTGGCTGAGGCTCTCTGCACCCTCGAAATCACACCCTCCTCCCTGTCACACGTGACTGAGCAAGCAAGCAGGTGGGGGCTGAGAGTACAGAGTGTAAAACGGAAGCTTAGAGGACAGCGCCGAGAGGAGCAGAGACACTGGGGTGCGGAGGAAAGGCTGGCCTGGAGTAGGCCCGGAAAGACTGAGCATCTCCAAAGGCAGGGGGTGCAGAGCCAAAGTGCAGTCCTGCGCGGCCTCCTCCCACGGCCCGCGCCCAGGAGGGGGCGCTCGGTCAGAGCCGCCTCACCAGCTGAGCGCCTTGCTCCCGGGGGACCCCGGCTTCCCACGGCTCCGTGGCCCCGTGCGGGCAGCTGCTCCCTCCTCCGGCTTCACCGCCCGGCCCCGCAGCTCCCTTCCCTGGCCTCCGCCCGCCCTGCTGGCCTCGGCTGCCCCTCCTTCCCAATGCCAGCCTCTGAAGAGACTTCCCGGTCTCTTGCCTGCCCTGGCCTTGCTCCCACACCTGCCCCTGCCATGGCTGCAGGAGCCACCCCACACCGCCACCTCAGCGTGGCGCTGCCACCAGCAAAGTCCCAGAGGCCGGGCGGCCCGGCAGCAGCAGGCGTTCACTTCTCCCGGGGCTGCCAGTCCGGCGTCAGGCGCCACTGCGGTCCGGATGCAAAGAGCCGGCTTTGCGTTCTGTCCTCGCCTGGGCGAAGGGCGCGGAGCCCTGCGGGCCCCTTCCGTGGGGCAAGAACCTCATTCATGAGACTCTGCCCTGGCGACCTGGTCACCTCCCCAACCAGCACCCCAAGTGCTGTGATTTCACCCCCGAACACCCCCCACGCCCATTCAGGCCCTGCCCAGGTCATACCTCTTCCTGCGGCCCCGTGGCCTTGCCCCCCACGCGTGGACAGCTGACCGCTCCCTCACCTCCTCCTCCCCGCCCCTGCGCTGCACGTCAGGCAAGCTGGTAGAAGGGTGGGTGCTCCCTCCTCCAGTGCCAGAGCCTGGCCCCCGCCCAAGCACCGCAGGAAGCGCAGGGTCTGCCCTGCGCGCCCCTTCAAGCCCCTTCCCACCGCTGGGGCCCGGCCCTGCTCTCCCGGGTGTGAGCAAGGAACATTTCCCACCCTCTTGGGGTGCGGGTGTGGCGCCACCAGTCTCCGCGGCCAAACCAAATTCGGGGTGGGGGGGGCGTCTGTCCTGTTTGCGCAGTGGCCACAGCACACTCCCTCGGCCCCAACCGCGGCCCCTTCTGAGATCCCACGCCCCCGGGACCTGGACTGCGTGGCCAGTGAGCAGACTCGGGCCTGGTGCAGAAACAGAGCACACAGGCTCTCCCCTCAGGAGCCCTGGCGTCCCCGCCCCAAGCCCTGCCCAGACAGAGCCGCCTTTGTCAAACCGGTGAGCCCGGCGCTCCCCTCGCAGCCCGCAGGCCCCAGCAGCGCCAGGTCCCGGCTCCGTGTACCTAGCCGGCAGGAGCACAGCTCTCCAAGAGAAGGCGGCGGTGTCCTCCTGAGGACACTGGGCAGATCACACTTCTTGCTCGGTCTGTCACCTGGGGTTTATTTCCTTTATCAGAGGTTGGGGTAGAGAGCAAAACGGAGCCAGCACCGAGCCCCTGCGCAGGGGTGGGACTGCGTTGCGCCTCGGGAGACGTGCTGAGGGCTGAGGCCCGACGGTTGCCGCCGTCCGCAGAGATGGGGCCTCTGGGTTCCTATGCTCCGGGCGTGCAGAGAGGGGGGCTCCGCACCTGATGCCTAAGGGCTCACTGCGCGGGGCCCTCGGGCAGGGGCTCCATGGCTTGCTGCAGACGGAGGAACATGCAGATCTTGGGGTGCTGGTGTGCTCTGCACATCCGAGCCCACCAGTCACACTGGGGGTGATGGGGACATCTGGACTGAAGTGCATCTCACATGTGGCCTCCCGAATCCATAAGCCACATGAAGATGGCGGCAAGGATTAGAGGGATGTGGCCACAAGCCCAGGGGTGCCTGGGGCCGCCAGGAGCTGGAAGAAGCAGGAGGGAGCCTGCCCTTGACCTCCAGAGTAAGCAGGACTGTGAATTGCTACTGCTCTGGGCAGCTCTATCTAGAACAGGAAGGAGGGTCTCTGCAGTGCGGGGCACAGTGCGGGTCTCAAGGGCACACCTGGACAATGACCCCCAGGGAGGCCAGCGGGTGAGGACAAGGGGCCTCCCTCCCATGGGCCTGTCATTATTTCAAAATGAAAACGAAAGATGTCAGTTGACTGGGACCATATGTGGAGGCTCTGGAAGATTCTGCTTCCCACTTCATTCAGGCTGTTGTCACAACCAAGTTCCTTGAGGCGGAAGAAGCGAAGTTGCGCTTCTCGGGACACACAGCCCTTGGGCCCCTCAAAGCGGCGGCGGCGGCGGGGGGGGGGGCGTCCTCCTCCTCCCTTTTGAAAGTTTCTGCCTCCCCTC